CTTGTTCTCCTATTGTACATCTTAAGGATGTAAGCTGAGAAAATAACGTGTTCAGTGTGTTTAAGTGCTCCGTCACTGAAGTAGATTCTGACATCCAGAGAGTATACAATTTTCTCTTAAGAAAAATTTTATTGCGCAACGATGTGGCCTCGTACAATTTGGTGAGATGATCCCATATTTCCTTAGCTGTCTTTTTCTCCTCGATGCTTGGCAATACTTCATCTGCTAATGCTAGATGAAAGTTTGTCATAGCATTCCCGTCCATCTCGTTCCATTTGTTGTCATCTATGAAATCCACCGGCCTTTCACTGATAGATGCTAGACAATCGTCTTTCCTCAAGATGGCCTTCATCTTCAATTTCCACAATGAAAAATTTCTCCCATTGAATTTTTCAATATCAAATTTCGTTGCCATAGCTTCTTTTATGAATAGCTCCCATTATTTCGCTATCGTGAATAGTTCTCTGGAACCTTCAAAGAATGGATAATAACTTCTTACTTTCTTATGTTGGAGGATCCACCTTTTGGTGGCAACCACAAAGACAATAAGCAGATATTACACACTCTAATATGGCTCGGATACCAATTATTGCGGAAGACGGCTATCGGATAGAGCAAAATCGCAACTGATAATTTGAGAAAATAAAAATTGAAGATAAAATAGACACAAATTTTACGTGGAAAACCCCTAAATAATATAGGGTAAAAATCACGGGCAACGGTAGAAGAATATCACTATGAGAAAATAGGAATTACAACTTTTCTCTATCGACCAAGGAGAAAACAATGATAATTCTCTTTTGATAAAAAGGAGAAAACAACTCTCAAGAAACTCTCTAAATTCTCTCTAGTATTGGAAGAAAGCTAGAATGCTTTGGGATGGTTTTGAAGCTAAATGAGGTAGGGTATTTATAGTTGAAGCCTTAAGGACTAATCTTGTAAATACCCTAAATTACAATGACTAAATTTGTCATTTACCCATTACATAAATTCAAAATTTGGTGGCCAAATTTTGACCACATTTGCCGTCCAATTATGTTGCCATTTTCAATGCACCGAAAGTGCAAAGACTTTCAACAAGACCTATGATCGAGAAGGGAGATATTCAGATGATTGTTGATCCCGGGTTGGAAAATGAATTGACGTCAATGCTGCCTGGAAAGCTGTGGAGATAGCTATGTTGCGTGCACTGCAAGCTTCATTGCAAAGACCAGACATCAGTCATGTATTAGCAGAACTCAAGGAATGTCTTGAAAGAAATTATGAGAGGGTCCTAAGTACTGAGAAGACCTCCTGGGAGATGGATCCAGATATGCTTCCCGTTGCTAGGTAGTGTGTTAGGAATTGAAAAATAAGGAAGAATTTGAATCAATATCTACGATAGTGAAAGACCTTTTAGCCAGAAAGTTGTTGGATTTGTTATTGCTTAGAATATAAATATTTATATATATCATGTTAATCATATTTAAATACTTTTATACCTGTAACAAATACATTTTAAGATATTTACACATATAATATTTATATTATTGTGTAAGTCTATGAGACCTGGATGAATGTGTTGTCTCTATACCCTATTTTTCTTCTCAGTATTTTGCCAACATCTCCTGCACATGCAGGGTTGCTCTTAGGTTCAAATCCATGGACGTCACTGCTCTTTGTTATTATCCCACCTACCTCTCGTCGTTTCAATATAAATGCACTCAAAACTTCATAAATGTAAAACCTTCTCCCATCTATTCCTTTTATGACTAAGCAGAGATTTTAATTTTGAAAAGAAAAAAAAATCTCAAAAACAAATTTGGTTTATAATATCTATCTAAAATGTAGGACATGAATGATAATAAATTCCAGCTACTCTCATTTATTGGCCATTATCAACCCCCAGCTTATAAGACCAAACTCAGAATTCAAAGCTTCAAAATACAATGAAATGTTAATGATAATGGAGGTTTATAGTAGATGGTTCATGTTTATAGTGTTTGCATTTGCATTAGTAAGCAAAGGGTAAGCTCAAGAATCGACCACTCTTGTTCCAGCAATCATGACGTTTGGTGACTCAGTGGTGGATGTGGGGAATAATGACTATCTCCCCACCATCTTCAAGGCTAATTACCCTCTTTATGGGAGGGACTTTGCCGATCAAAAGCCTACCGGGAGGTTCTGCAATGGGAAATTGGCCACTGACATCACTGGTAAGTGGAAGATGGTAGCCTGATTTCTTTCTTCGTTTCTTCTTTTTGTTTTCTTCTTTTAAGTAGGTCAGATAGAGTTAATAAGCTTGGAACTTGCAGCTGAAACTCTGGGGTTTACTAGTTATCCACCAGCATATCTGAGCCCTGAAGCATCAGAAGAACCTTCTCATTGGAGCCAATTTTGCTTCAGCCGGGTCTGGCTATGATGACAGAGCTGCCGCGTTAAACGTCGGATTTTGATCTTATAACATTGAATCTCAACATCAATATCTTTGCAGTTTAAGTTGTATTTTTCCCTTTTAAAAAAAATCATAGTTTTGCCATGTTATTTGCAGCATGCTATCACATTGACCCAGCAAGTAGAGTATTTCAAGGAGTATCAGGGGAAGCTAGCAAAGGTAGCTGGCAGTAGCAAATCAGCATCCATCATCAAGGATGCACTCTATGTACTGAGTGCTGGAAGCGGTGACTTTCTCCAGAACTACTATGTCAATCCTTTACTTAACCATGCCTATACTCCTGACCAGTATGGCTCCTTCCTCATTGAGGCCTTCACAACTTTCGTCAAGGTATGTAATTTGCTTCCTTTTTTGCTAGTCTTCAGGATAGTGAGTGTTGGATACAAGTATTAATTTGCTTCCTTTCGGGTTATTTGTCTGCTAAACAGAACACGTATGGCTTGGGAGTCGGGAAAATTGGAGTTACTTCCCTTCGTCCCTTAGGTTGCATTCCCTTAGCGAGAACCTTGTTTGGTAACCGTGAGAATGGATGTGTGACCGATTCAATACCGACGCTCAGCAATTCAACAAAAAGCTCAATACAGCCGCAGCCAATCTCCAGAAGCAGTACCCTGATCTCAAATTGTGGTTTTCGACATTTTCAAGGCACTATCTGATGTTGTTAAATCCCCATCGGTAAGGGAAGAGATTCCTCCATATCTTAGTCTAGCGGAGAAAAATAATCTCTTTTAATGATTAACAGAATTGATATATGTAATCACTGAACATGACTTTGGTAGGTTTCGTGGAAGCAACGAGAGGCTTCTGTGGAACAGGGACCGTAGAGACGGCTGCATTCTTGTGCAATCCGCATACACCGGGAACTTGTTCGTATGCCTCCCAGTATGTGTTTTGGGACAGTGTTCATCCATCTCAGGCTGCTAATCAAGTCCTTTCTATTATTACCTTTATCAAAAGGTGACTCGTATTGCAGTAGCTTGTATTTGTAGTTAACCTTCTTTTTTCCTCAATTTATCCTGATTTTTTATTTACAATTCCTAAATGTAGTATCTTAGGACCAAGAAAATGAAATGATACAGATAACAGCGTAGGAAAAAATTGAAGAAAAAGTTGTAGGACTGGAAAAGGCAATCAATAGAGAACTCCAAATATTCTTCAGAAATGAGAAACAAGAAACTGTTCTTTCTCCCTTCTAATTTTTTATACAGAGCTGGATCATGTCAATTCTAAGTGATTCACAAAACTGAAAATCTCCCAAGGAAAAGTGTAAGCATGTTAGAAATGTGTAATGGCACTGTCTAATAGCCCAAGCAACAGGAAGATTTGAGGTTGGCAAAAGTAGCAGCATCGGTACTGGTACTGGTACTGGTCCTGGCATTTGCCTCCTTTAGCACTTGGATTGGCTTGTCCTCCAGTGCCAAGGAATTTGGACAATCAAGTAGCTTGATCACATCAGTCTTCATCTCCTGCGGCTGTCCTGATACCTTCGTGGCGTGTTTAGGCCGAGAGATAGAGAATTTATTAGAAAGTGCAATACTAACCAAACAAAAACATTCTCCTAAAATAGAAGTTTGCTGGGAATTTAGGCTGCAGACCTTAAGATTCCCCACAAATAAATGACTTAAGTTTGAGTATCCAGGGGATGTTGCTGCAGTAACAAATTGGATAGCTTCTAGTGCTACAGAAGAGTTTTCAGTAGGTTTACACCTTTTGTTCTCCCTCTTTCTGAAACCTACTTTCTTATTCCCAGGATTGATAAGATCCAGGTCTCTGATCCGAACACTAGAGTTATAGCCTGTAACATAAGGGATTAAGAAGTCAAGTAGAATCCATGCTTAATCTTGTTACAAAAGCAAAATCTAATCAGTCACACAAGTAAGCAAAAAACAAAAAAGAATGTTAAATAATAAGTTGTTACGAGTTTCCATTAGCAAATATGTAGAGTACACAAATTAAAAAACTATCCATTTACAGAGGTAGTTCATACATGCTGCCTGAACATGCAATCTCGTCTGAACCCAGCGATGCTTGGGTTCATGTGTCTCATTTCATCCTGCTAAGTCACAAGAAATACACAAATAATAGTCAGAATGGAGCTGCATAACAAAAATATATGTATAGTTTCCAAGAAAAACCAGACATGCTTACATATGAGAATTTTCGCTGTCCATCTGTTGTTGTAAAAGGATACTGAATACCGACGTTTGCAACAAAAGGATGCTGATATAAGGATGCTGGAACAGGTGTGGGGAAACAGCAGTGCAAGGGGAGATTATAGTAAAATGGGTGGTGGAACTGAGGGGTAGCACCTTTGCAACTAGATTGATATGAGGATTGTACTGGGGTGTTTTGCCCATAATATTTCTGCAATTCCTTAGAGCGGTCTTCTTTACGTTGAGCTACTGCTACATATAGAAACTTCCACACAAATAAGGCCCCTAAATAATTTCAATATTCGAATTAGTAACCATGCACTGTTACTCAAAACTTCAAAGGTCTACAAAAGAAATCAAAGCTCAAATCATTAGGACAGAGGTAAAAGGGCAGAGAGAACTTTGTCTCACGATCAAGTCCATGAAAAGCTTCCATTGCTTCTTCGGGAGAGGAAAAGCACACGGCCAAATCCCTTACTCGTCCCATTCTCATGGCACATCACCCTAGCTGAGGTTATTTGTCCAAAGCGACCAAAAAGTTCTTGTAATCTTTTGTCGTCGATGGATACATTAAGGTTCTTCACGTAGAGATTCGAAGCCTTTGATTTCTCGAAACGGCGGTCGAACACATCCTTGTACTTATGTTTCAATAGCTTTGTCCTTTCAGCCTTCTTTTGAGCCCTTCCCACAAACAAATTCTTTGAACCTGCTAAACAAATCAATTTCATACATGTAAATGATAACTATTTTAGATGAACTACCGAGTTTTAAAAGGGGAAAACATAAAAAAAAATGATCAATTTTACCAAGTTGTATACCATTCATCGCCTCCAGAGCCTTCTTAGCATCATCTGGAGATTGGAAGTTGACAATCCCAAAACCTCTTGAGACCCCCTTATCATCCTTCATGATAACTGCACTACTTATCTTCCCATATCCAGAAAACATTTCTTTTAGACGATCCTCTGTAATGTCATCAAAGAATTTTTTCACATAGAGATTTGTGAACTTCTCTTCTTCAGCAGGTGTCCTCTCACACTTCCTGACGAACACATATCTGCCATGGAAGTGCAACAACCAAATCAAGCAAAGCAAATAGGGTAATCACAGAAGTATAGCCATTCCTCTAACGAGCATAAATTAGACATTCCTCTCCTCAGAAGATGAGTGATTGATTTTGGCAAGTGATGGCCTTTGGGATGTTTTGTCTAATGAAGAATCGTAAGTTAGCTCGGAAAGAACTAAGATGACAACGGAGGCTTGCAGGGGATGATAACAACAGTGCATTGCCACCTACCTATCATGTTTCTCACAAGGTTCTTAAGAAAGCTCTTTCTGAACACAGTCATGATAACATCTCCGTCATTGTTGTCGGCCTCAAGAATTCAAAGCTAACGTCCCAGAACAAGCTTCAAAAGGTAAGGAAGAAGGAAGACAACTGAGGTTGAAGATGTATAGACAGTGTTGTAATGTAAACAACAACGTGGTATCTAACCTTGGAGACTTGTGGCTTTAGTTAACTTTCTTAAAGTCCAAGTAGCAGAAGGCATGAGAATTTTATATATGTGTCTTTGTTATGATAATGTAGTTTTTCCTTATTTGGACTATAACTATACTTCCATCTTCTGAATGGAAGCTTTAAAACTTATAGTCAAAGAATCGTACCTTTCTCTCCTATACGTATTACTGATATTTGATAATTATATTGTCAAATATTCGATAGATCAATTAATAATTACTAATAATCAGTTAGTTTAGTGGATAAGACACTAGGTCATTTAAACAAGGTTAGACGTTTGAATCCTAACGTTTGTGAATAGAGCAAATTAGGTTAGGAAGGTCGCCCTCGCCTCTGCAGTACCCGATCTGAATTAGTCGATCAATAGATCGGATATAAGTGTGTAATTAAAAAAATCAAAAATATATTTTTAATTAAAAAAACAATAACGCACATTTAATGATGATTTTAAAAAACAAAAATTAAATAATCAAAACGGAAATGTAAAAATAGTTGTGTGAAACCCTAAGCTAAACCCTGGTTTAAGGAGAGGACACAAGTCCTATCTTCCTTCCATTCCCATTTTACTGCAAAGTTTCTCTTATGCAGATCGTAGAAATGAAAGTCTTGAGATCGATTTACTTCACCCATAATCTCTTCATCCACCGCAATCTCTCCAGAACCCATGTTTCATTCTCCTCCTTTTCCCGCCATTTCCACTCCTCCAACCCCCGGTTCGCTCTAAATTCTTTGGAGACCGATGGAACCCAAAGGACCCCGCATGTGTGGACCGCCTACGAGGGACTTACCGGCGACCTTTCTACGCCAAGCAGCAGACATAAAGGCTTTACCCAGGGTAACGAGTTAGGTTCAGGAGAGGAAGCAGATGCGGGTTTCGAGACCGAGAGGACTTTTGAGAAGGCTAAAAATGATAATTTGAGCAATGGAGACGAAATCCAGAAGGCCAAAAATGCTTGTTATTCCCCCAAGGAAAACACTGAAGGGATGAGTCGAAAGAAGGCATTTTTGGATAATGGGTTGGGATTGGGGGATATTCTTGGAAATAAGAAGAAAGGGAAAGGTAAATTTAAGTGGGTTTGTGAGATTTGTGGGTACTCAGATGGACAGTGGTGGGGAGTTTGCCGTTCTTGTGATCGTTCTGGGACGATGAAAAAGTTTATGGAAGGGGAGACTAAGAACAGAGGGCTCGAATTTTCGGAAACTTTGGCGCGTTCTTGGCTACCAAAGGATGCAGGGAATGTGGAACCTGTAAAATTGATTGATGTTAACCGTGGTGTTAAGAAGATGGATTACCGGATTCCACTGTAACCCACCCCACCCCCCACAAAAAGAAAAAAAAAACCCACTTAAGTTGTTGAAGCATTGTACTTAGGTTTGTATTGATATATGCTTTTTGTTTGGTATGCTTAATATGTAGGTTTGGTCCCTTTGGAAGTGAAGTTGCTAGGGTGCTTGGAGGCGGTCTTGTTCCAGGTCTGCATAGTCTCCATGCTGAATAATTTTGTGATTACGGCTGCGAAAAAAAAGTTTGAAAATGGAAAGAAAACATGATGATGTTATCCAAGGTTTTCTTAACTAATTGATGTTGAGTTCTTGATGGAAGCTTATTTCTTTTGTGCATACTTTACCGATTTACAGGCTCATTGGTTTTGATCGGTGGTGATCCTGGTGTTGGAAAGAGTACCCTTCTGTTGCAGGTACGAAATTGTTGCATTTAGGGTGCTCATGCTTCTATGTTCTCTTTTTCACATTCTTTAATTGGTAACACCTGTCGTATAATGTTAAGTTTCATTCCACCTTTGAAAGATGGCTGCGCTAATTGCTGAGGGGCATGACTGTGACCAGCCCGCTTGTGTTGTTTATGTATCTGGTGAAGAGGTTAGTTTTGTTCAAATTTCAAAGCTTTACTAGGTTAGAGTTTGAACATATAGATAAGTCATTAACCTTAGCTTATGATTATTGTGACTGTTTTACTATGAGCATGAATGAGTATATTTATTTGGCATGTTAAGAGTGTTAAATATGAGTCCGGCTTCCTCACCGCAGAGTGTAGAACAAATTAGCAGCAGAGCTGAACGTATGAAGATCGGAGCAAATGAACTTTACCTTTATGCTGGTACTGATATTGAGGTAAATGATTCTGGATATATGCATATAAATGATAAATACTTCTCATAACTTTTCCCCACTTTATTTTCTGTCATCCTCTTCCAAATTGAAAGAGCATTGCTGATTTACTCTAGCAGTAAATGAAATCTATGATTTTCCATATACTGAGAACCAGTTGATGAATCCTAAAACAATTGGTGGATTTGCTGCCTTTCAGGACATATTGAAGAAAATTCAGCCCCTCTCACCACGGGCCCTAATTGTTGATTCAGTTCAGACTGTTTACTTAAAGGAAGTTACTGGAAGTGCTGGAGGCCTCTCACAGGTTGGAATATATAGAATGTTTAGTTATTAGCACTACTTATTATCATCAGCCATTCTCCCTTGGTATAAATTTCAACCAGTTTCCTTTTTAAGTCGTTAGCATTAGCAATATGTGTATGCCTTCTAGGGAAGGGGAGGTCATCATATTTGTTAAGTAGTGAGTAGCGACACTATTTTAGTCAATGGCAGGTCAGGGAATGTACATCAGCTTTGTTGCGGTTTGCGAAGAAAACCAACATCCCAGTTCTTTTGGTAAGCATATAGTTCCTACTCTCAAATAGGCTGATGTAATATTTTTTATGAGTATATTTTTAAATTGTTAAATGAGATGGAGTATTTTTAACTTGTTAAATTAGGAGAGTAGCTTGATTAGTCAAGAAGTAGTTTTATTGCATCTGGTTTGGATGGTTCTCAAGTGTTCTCTTTCATGGCTGTTCCTTTGTTTGAAATTTCGCCTGCATTTTATTACTATCGGTTCTGAATTCTACTTTTCTACTCTTCTGGTTATGAATTTTACTTTATGAATATTACTTTTCTACTCTTCTGATCCTTTTTTATGATGTCAGGCTGGACATGTAACAAAATCTGGTGATATAGCTGGACCTCGTGTCTTGGAGCACATTGTAGATGCTGTCTTATATCTGGAAGTTGGTACCATGGCCTCATTTTTTTTCTTCCCTTTTCACTATTGCTAATCTTATTGTCTTCATCTTGGTCTTTCTATATTATATCTCAACTTTCTTTCATTTTTGTTGAGCTTATATTTCCCCCTTTCATTTTCTTAAGAATATTTTGTGGTGGCATATTTTGGCGGTGACTATATTTAGTAGTTTGTCTTGCAGGGAACCTGCATTAATAAACTAAATATCTGCCTTTTTATGGACTTGTAAAGTATTGCAGCAAAGATTGTTGAAGATTTAGTACAAATTTTTGAAGGGAAAGTTATTTTTTAATATAACGGAGTGAAACCTAGGAACACAAATCTACAGATCATTGCAATTTAGGACTAGTTTTCAGTGTCTTGTGATTATAAAACACAAATAAATAAAGCTTATCTAAGCGATCCATTATCAGATGTTAGCTCAAATTTAAATAGTGAAATGTTCTTTAACTTTGCAAAAGTATGGATTTATTCTCTTTAATGTTCATAGATGCTGAATAAGATGCTTCTGTTTCCTACGAAATTTGTATTCAAGTATAACTGATTGGATTGTCCGTTTTTGCTTAAATGCATATTTTTTGAATTGTTGAAAATTTCCTATCCTGATTGTAACATATTGTACCATCTTTTTACTCTTCAAAGATTCCATCTATTTCACATTTCAGAAATAGTATGCTTTGTACTTTAAATCAGTTTTTAAGATCATATTCTATAGTTCTGATAACATAACTGCAATCATTTCTAGGGGGAAAAGTGTTCATCGCATCGTTTGCTTCGATCTGTGAAGAATCGTTTTGGGTCAGTTGATGAGGTACCAGTGACCAAGATACTATGCTTTTTGCTTCAATTTTAAGATGAATGACTTGAAGATGCTCAACTTGACTGTATACACTATCTTGTATCACTGTCATTTTAGTTTTTATTTGCTAAAGATTGTTAATGGTTTGTTTTCTTTCAACTCAAATATTTCTTGTGAATTCATCACTGGTTGTTGTCTTGATGGGAATATCTACTGTCAGCTAGGCATATTTGAAATGTCACAACTGGGACTGCAAACTGTTTTAAACCCCAGTGAGATGTTTTTAAGTGATCAGAACTCTGATTCGGAGTTTCTAGCCGGACTTGCTGTTGCTGTAATTATGGATGGATCTCGGGCTTTCCTTATTGAAATTCAGGTACTTCTTTTACCTTTTTTTTTATTTTCTTATTTGCTTCATGTTTCTAACAACATTTTGTTACCCAATAGTTTTGACTGATTAATGTATGCAAAGGTGTAGAACCTTCTATTCCATTATTGAGTACCATATTTAAAATGATGGTCTGTATTTATGAAAAATGAATCTGATAATGTTTGCCTGTATTAGACTGTAAATCTATTTTTTAGTTATCGTTTAACAGTCTTTTAGTAAGTATTTAAAAGGGTGAGGCATATCGTAAATATGAGGCACAAAATAAATAAAGGGAAAATTTCCCATTTTATTTCTATCTCATTGTGTTGCAATGTTTGTTGTTAGTATCTTTGTCCGACAAATGATGTTTATCGACTTCTATCTCTAGGCATTGTGTGTATCTAGCTCAACCGTTTCTAGACATGTGAATGGAATCCAAGCAAGCAGAGCTGATATGATTATCTCTGTAAGTACTATTTAATTCTCCTGCAAACATTTCATCTGTATGGTATGAAGTTTGTCTTTGTCAGTACCGTTACTTTTAATTATGTAGGTTTATATGTTTTTTGCAACAACAAAAAAAAAATGTTGTATCTTATGTTGTATCCTGGAATTCAACTCTCCTACCTCAACTGAGGTAGTTAAATGCACGTTTTCCATTTTTTGTTTATTACTTTTAAGTTTAATGCTAGCGGATCCACTCGTGAGATGATTAGACTAACCTTCAATTTTTTTGTATCCTCGAGATTTGATGATTGCCTACATATTAACATATAATAGGCTTGACGAAAAAGCAAGTTTAGAGGTGGATTACTCTGAAAATACCCCATTGTATCATATTACAACATTATATCAGAATGGCTTTTTAAAGTTATTTAGTTTCATTCTTAAATGTTGAGCTAAATAGTTGCTAGAATCAATCATTTGGTGCTTTTTCACTTTTTGGTAACAGTGATTTACTATCCTGTTTTACAAAGCTGCAATTTTATATATTTTACTATACCGCATTTACAAGACTGCATTCTGTATTGACCGTTTCAATATAGGTCCTCGCCAAGCAAGCTGGTCTGAAGATCCAAGAGAATGTAAGTCAATTGTTTTACTGTTCATCTTCTCTGGTATGCTGTCCCATTCTTCTGGCAGAGTACTTTTCCTTCACCATTATCAGAAGAGATTGTTAATTTAGTTTGATTGTGATTCATTGTTTTTTAGCATGCCCTGTTGATCATCGTCGATATTTTGAAATTTAACTTTCATTTGGTAGAATATGTTTTGACCATGTGATTCTTTTAAGCAATAGAAAGTACCTAAGTGGGAGTCCCTACTCCCTCCAGCTTAGTTATTGTTTTTCTTTTTTTTATTTGTTTAATTCTTACTCTTTCGTCCAAGTATGGATTATATTCATCATTAATCGTTCTTTTTGAACACTTGTGTAATTTTCAATACTTTTTCTACCAGGCTGTATTTCTAAATGTTGTAAGCGGAGTATCGTTGACAGAGACTGCTGGGGATCTTGCAATAGCAGCATCAGTTTGTAGCAGGTATAGTTTTTCTTTTTCATTAGATTATGATTCCAGAATACAGTTCTTTTACTTGTTTTTATCGCTTCCCTTCGTGTCACACACCTAATTTGTAGAATAATGTCGCAGCATCAGTTTGTAGCAGGCCTTCAAGTTCCTGGGCACAGCATCTAGACAATTTATTTTTTACGTGTTGAGTGTTATCGAATATTTAATATATATATATCTAAATCGCTAAACTCATGTCTAATGTCTCCACCCAGCTTCTTAGAGTTTCCTATTCCCAGCGGTGTAGCGTTCATCGGTGAAATCGGTCTTGGTGGTGAGATTCGCATGGTAAACTCCTACTTTCCCTGTTATGTTTTCTTTTTTGTCGCAAACCGTACATCGATGAATGCAAAACTTCGTTTTGTTGCATGTATTTTAGGTACCAAGAATGGACAAAAGAGTGAGCACAGTCGCAAAACTGGGATATAAGAAGTGTATAGTACCCAAGTCAGCTGAGAAATCATTGGCGAATCTTGATTTGGGGGAGATGGAGATGATTGGCTGCAATGATTTGAAGGGGGTCATCAATACAGTGTTTACTAAAAACTGAAAAAGGAAGAGTATCAAACGTGTAAGAATATATTATCTCTATGTATGCATGTATGTAGTGATTCCCCAAAGAACAAACAAGGTTCAAGGGTGTAGGAGTGTTAATATAAATAGTAGGTACTTAACATTGCTCCCTACTGCATATGTTATGCTTTTTGTTTTATGCAATGGATGAAATCTTTGGACTTGAAATGTTGAAAATCAAACTTGAGGAAGAAAATGAGCCTGTTGAGTCTATGATCCTTGTCAATGGATGTATAATCTCTATATATTTATCTTTTTAATTTAAAAATATAAAATTTAGGCTAGATTAATGACTTCCACAAAAAAAACAAGTTGAATGTAGATTATGCATTTGTTTGTTAATAAATTGTTTTTATATTAATGATTCTATATCTTATCTTTTAGGAGATGGAGTCTACAGCTACAAACCTCCATTTTAATAAATGATTCAAGAGAAAATCATGTCTAGGTTGAGTTCTTAGGGCGTTAATGGATTTGGACTCCTACACATTCTACATTTTATAATTAATGCATGAATGTAGTTTTTTTTTCCTTAAAAAATTATTTGATTTTAGTCGATAATCTTCGGAGTAAGTAGTTAAAAATATATTTTTAAAATATTATTTTTTTGAGTTGCTCGAGAGTTGTTCGAGTCGAATAACAAGTAGTTTGTTTCGGCATGTTAAGAACTCGAGTTGAGTATTTATCGAACTTTGATCTAATCGATCTCAAGTTGCTCACGATTTATCTCGTTTCATTTACAGTCCTAGATTTAATACTCATTACGAACAAAATTCCTCCTCCTCCTCTCAAGTATGGATCGTTCAAAAAGATATTTTATACTTTAATTAGTTAAAGATAATTATAGCATAACTTTTATTTAATTTGATTTAAACATGTCAAAGGAGAGCTTACCGCTTGTGATTTTTCACTCATTTTTAATAATCATAAATTGGGCAAAGAGGATGATATCATTTTGATTATTTTTATATGTAGTCTTAGGAGCACGTGGACTCACCTGAGGGCGGCTCCACTCATATTTTAGAGTTGACTTCAACCCCATTCCTCCATTTCCGGAACCCTCTTTTTTTTATTTATGCTTCCAATTGTCTGGACTTGAAATATTGCTTTTTATTAATATATTTTAAATATTTATTTAATTAAGAGATTAATTTCTGATCGAATTAATTATACTAAATATTATTAATGTGACAATACATGTATAATTAGGGATGGGTATGGGACTCGAATCCGATCAGGTCAGGTTTTTAAAAAAAAAATCAGGTTCGGGTCGAATTTTTTTAAAGGTAGTGTTCGGGTCGGGTTGTATTCAGGTTTAGGTTGAAAAATACCCGACCCGACCCGAAGAAAATAATTTTACCTCATATATTTAGGAATAATTACAATAATATCCCTCTATATATTATTTTTTCAATTAAATCATTGTTTTTATTGAATAAAAATAATATTTTTATTATTATTTTGGGTCGGGTCGCTTTGGATTTTATCTCAAAAATTCGGATCGGATGGAGGGTATATATTATACGGGTCAGGTCATGTGAATCAAAAATCCGACCCAACCTGACCCATGCCCATCCCTATGTATATTAAATTAAAAGTAGGAATGGGATAAGGGAAAATTGTTGAGAGTTAAAATGAATTTGTTTGAGGGGACGGTGGGTGCTAGTTGTAAGGGAACTAGGAATGAGGTTTAGATTCAAATGACCAAATCTGTTGTAATCTTAAGTCGGGCAATTTATTTAGTTTTGACTCTGCAAAGTCATATGTTAAATTATTCATTTCTTATTCCTTAATTTACATAAAGTCCTAGCTAGCTACTACCTCATTCAATTATATATATATACATACATACATAATGTTACTAAATCAAAATAATCACACTATATATTAAAATTATAAAAGTCGGTTTTGTAAGTAGAAGTGACCTGGTACGTTGATCATGAAATCTAGTTTTTCATTTGGACGGAGATCTTGTCTCATTTTTTTAATCAGTCGAAGAAAAAGTCAGCTCCGTTTCGTTAATCTTACGTTGAGTGATCGCCGGTAAATATAGTAGGGGCGGCAGCCGAAAACCATCTTCAACCCTCCACCCTGGGTGCCTATATAAGCAAATCAAATCCATGCAACAAACATCATCGCAAACCCTATATCCTAGTAACAGATACATACCCTCATTTCTCTGCAGAAAATTAAGCTCTGATAATGGCGCCTCACTCCCGATCACCTGCAAGCAAGATACCCGTCATTGATGTTTTCGATGAAAATTCCAAGCCTGGTAGTGACGCTTGGATCTCCAGATGCAAGGACGTTCGAGCAGCGTTGGAGCAATACGGGTGCTTCTTGGCAACGTATGACAAAGTTTCTTCACAGCTCCAGGATGATGTCTTCCTCTCTTTGCAACAATTGTTCAATCTTCCTACACAGATTAAGGTTCAGAACTCTTCTGATAAACCTTATTTTGGTTACTTCAAACACCCTTGCATCCCTCTCTCTGAAAGCATGGGCATTGATAACCCCACCATTCTTGAAGGAACTCAAGGTTTCACCAATCTCATGTGGCCTAACCGGAACAAAACTTTCTGGTATACATTTCTTTCACAAATACAATTCAAAGTTCAAACCCTATATTTTGAGCATGATTTACTAACCCCTTTTTTTGAAATTTTTGATCAGTGAAAGCATACATGCGTACTCGAAGCTGGTGTCGGAACTGGACCGAATGGTGAAAAGAATGGTGTTTGAAAGCTATGGTGTAGGGAAATACTATGGTTCCCACATTAAAGCTACTGATTATCTTCTTCGACTTATCAACTACAGGGTGCCACATGAAGATGAACGTGAGATAGATGCATGTCCTGATCACACTGACAAGAGCTTCATGACCATTCTTCACGATAATGAAGTTGCAGGTCTGCAGGTGAAAACAAAGGATGGTGATTGGATCGGCGTCGAGCCCTCCGGTTCTTCATTCCTCGTCATTGCTGGTGATGCATTCTTGGCATGGAGCAATGGAAGAATACACTCCCCGATCCATCGTGTGATCGCAACAGAAGCTGGAAAGGAAAGATATAGCCTTGCGTTCTTCTCTTTTAGTGGAGAGATTATACAAACGCCCAAGGAGCTTGTTGATGAAGCTCATCCGCAGCTGTTTAAGCCATTTCATAATATGGACTTGCTTCGACTCTATTCCCTCGACGATGTTCAGAAATATGTCGACTTTATTTCCCAAGCCAAATGCGGAGCATGACCACATTTATGTTTTTCTTATATATATTTTCTTTCTGGGATTAAAAAGGCTAGGTTTTACCACATGTGATCTGTTCTTCTTAGAAATGTAGTGTAATCATTGTTTTGTTTTTTTAATCTGTAAAATTGTTCATAGTTCAGTTGTTTTAGTTAAAATAATGGATTCAATGCATTATTAATAACTGCAAATTAAGGATCAATAAATCAATTGCAAATTCCTACTGCATCTAACTAATTATCTAATCTAATTAAGCTAATTAAGGGTCTGTTATGAGCATTAGAAACACATGAAAAATTACATGCATATTATCTTCATTAGAAACAAAAGCTTACTAAACCCTTACTCTGTTCATGTAATCATAAGTAGTTTCATTTGACTACTGAATTATTTCCATTGCTATTTCTAATGCCAGCTTTTGTTTCTTATATTTTGAATTTTTGTCATTTTATGAGGGGTGTGTTTGTTTCTTGAGAAAATTCATGCTCAATATATATATTTTTATGCTGACCCTTGAACAACGTTAATTGCATATTGTTGGCCATTTATCCACTTATTGAATTGCATCTCACTTACACAAAATCACGGAATTTTTTTTACTTTTCTTGTAACCCCCTAGACCCGGCCTATGCGTTTCGACTAAGTCTAGTGGATCACATACATGATTCTTAAAGACATTTTCTGAAACCGTTATTCAATCATTGTAAAATCACATTATAAATGACATGATATTATACTATCAAAACCCAACTGATAAATATAATACCAATAAGTAAAAAAATTTAATTTAAACATGTCTTAAAAATCAAAATCACGATAAAACAAATATTAATAGCAAAAGTGTAATCACTATAAAATCCAATACTTTAAAATTAGGTCCATGTCATCAAAATAAAGTCAACCTGAACGATAAAAATATTACAATCAAATATACTTCAAGAGATATGTTGATCCTCCAAGTGCTCAATCCGGGGTATCTAACCAACAGTATTTGAAAGGGAAAAAAGCATGTTCAAAAGGTGAGCTAGGCTCAGTGTGTCCCACATTACCATAAAATCACAATAGGTACAATAAACGAGTAATAGTTCAGTAAACCATCATAATTTCATAATAGAGTTTAACTTTTGAAAATCATAGTTTAAACCCTTTTCTTGTGCACCATCCGCAGTTTCCAAAACTGCGTCCATATAGCTTATTTTAAGCACACAGCAAAAAGAAAGCCAACCTAAGGATAAACTTTAGAGCTTGTATCCTTAGGCCCACAAGTCCAAGTCCATATAGCTTACCCTAAGTACACAGCAAGGGAAGCCAACCTAATGCATCTTGGGGCCCTCAAGAGTCACATTAGGCCCGTTTATTAGCTTGATCAGAGCTATACTATCGTAATTCAATTCAATCCAAAATCAATAATCATAAACCAGTCATCATAGTCCATAAATCATCACCAGTAAATCGGTGTAACAATAAACAGTAAACCATAGATTTCAATGTGCCATATTTCAAAACATATAAAATAATTATGTAGTAAACAGGGAACACACCTCGATAATAGGTTCAGATAGTAGATCTACTGATTGCTGGTTTCACCACGCTCTGCTACAGTTTTCGAACATATTTTATAATAACACTATATTACTTATGGGTAACATAAATAGATCTCTAAAATCATAAAATTACGGGTCTTACGGGTGAATACTGGCACACGTGGTTTAACTGATCTAGAAGAGTTGGGACGAGCTGTCGAACGATCCGGAGAGTCTCTTGTACCTTCAAATAATAATAATCTATCAGTCCCAAATCTTATTTAATTGTTCAAAGCTAGACTTCTTAAGTATATAAACATTTTTCGAGTTTGACTATCAATTTGGGGTATTTTGAGTCTGAATTTGGCCAAACGGATTGCGGAATCGGAATCAGGACGTCGAAAAACATAAAGTATGACTTTTCGAAAATTCAAATTCTTGGTCAAAGTCAAAGTCAACCACTTTGACCGTTGATTTGGAGGCCTTCGGATTTGAATTTGGCGAAACGGACAACGGAAACGGATTCGGCACGTCGAAAACTATCAGGATAGGTATACTCGGAAAAGATTAACGGTCGTTTAATGGTCGGTCAAAGCCAATTAAGATTATGGTCAAAGGAAGTCAACAGTCAACAGTCGGGTCGGGTCGGGTCGGTCGAGTCGGGTCAGATCGGTCAAACCGGTTCGAACCGGCCGAAACATGTTGAAAACCGGTTTCCAGCAACTCACTCTCCCTACGACGGCGCGTGCGGCGAGTGGGGCCTCCTCCGGGACTCTAAAAATTACGGAAAAATTCTAAAAATTATTTTGAGCGATTTCGATATACTTACAACTATCGGTTCAAATTTTTGAACGGCGGAGAGCTCGATTTCAACTCGGCCGAATCTTTGACTGCTCCACCTCCTCACGCGCCGCCGTCGACGGCGAACAAGGTTGACACCGGCGGACTCGAAACGACACAAGGAACACGATGGTGCAGAAGGTGTCGTAAACGAAGCAATGATCGGCGGTGAATTTGAGATTTTCCCGGCGATAGAGCTAAAAAAACGTCGATGCTTTGACTTGAAATTCCCGACGTTTGGCAGCGTTTCGCTTCAATTAATTTAAGGGGATTGTTCCTGACTCGATAAAGAACACGATGGTGGTTTCAAAACGACGATCGGAATTCGGACGGCGTCGGAATCTAAATCGAAAACCGACGTAGGGGAAGGAAATTTGGGAGCAATTTGGGGTGTGGTTTTCTGTTCAACAGAAAACCACGTTATAACATAACATACCTAATTTTCTTGGATAAATTCAGAGTTTGGTCCTTGAATTTTCTTTAACTCTAAAATAAGCTCCAAATTTAAAAATCTTTCAATTTAATCCCCACAATTTACCGATTTTCACAATTAAAACCTCCAATTTCAATTAAATATTATTTTGAAAATATATGGGTTGTTACATTTCTAAATCTTTTTTCAGGTTGCTAGCTTCATGCACTTCACACTTGTATTATGTTGAAGATGGAGGCCGAGAAAGCATATTTAGGAAACGATGAAAGATGATAAATTGATTGTTAAAGTAAACCAACAAATCATTCCCTACAAGATTAAAATAGAACACAACTACAGTCAGAAGACAGATAAATTCTAATTCTACGTTAGTTTTCTGGAACATGAAACAACAGAGATGCTATTTCTGATAATGCCTTCATGGAGATACAATGTCTGCACGATTTCGGATTCTGGCGGATCGCCTCACCGGAGTTATCACCTCGTTATTGCTTCCTAACTCTTTCCCTTTCCTCTTGGCAGCAGTCGTCGAAACTGATCTATCAGATGAATTGGAGTTCACGGCCGATCGCCTCACCGGAGTTATCACCTCGTTGCTTCCCACCAACTCTTTCCCTTTCCTCTTGGCAGCTGACGTCGAATTTGATCTCTCAGATGAATTGGAGTTCTCGACAGGAAAGTCTGAGTATCCTTGTCGATCCTTGCTCCCCAAATCCTTTTCTGAAAAATAAGAATAGCTGCCCACTTGATCTTTCATTCTGCTGTTTATAGCAGAGCTCTTAACTGATCTACTTATTTCACAAAAGTCAAATTCAGCCATCAACTCAACTGAAGGTGCTCGGCTCCCAACTGCAAAGGTAGTAATCAACGGCATGGTGTTGGAAACGGCGAACTTTATTGGATCATCCCTCTCTGCAGGAAGTGGCAAACTTGGCTTCTTGTCCTCCTCAACTGGTTCAGTTGAATGCTTATCCACAGGAGAAGAAGAAAGCTTTGGTGCAATTCCCTTTCTCCTAATGTTAAAGCCAAAAACAAAAGATGCAACAATGGCAGCACATGTTAGAAACCCAAACGTAACTTTGAGAAACATTTCAGTTCCCATGTGATGGTTGAGCCCTTTCAGTGGATCCACTTCTTGGAAATTAAGAGAAATGGATCTGCCCCACTTCTGCAGCATACTGATTTGCATTATTAGGACTTGAACCATGTGAAGATTTTCATCTTCCTCCCTTGGAACCTCCCTTATTTCCTCTGAAGATTCGGTTCCTTCAGAAAAAAGACTTGCCTGTTGATCATCTTGTAAGAATTCAATCTCTTCAGTAGTTTGTTGTCCCTGCTGTTCGATTTCGAGATCCCCAACCAATTTCTCTTCAACTACATCTTGGGTTTCTTCAATCTTCTCCCCAGTTTCTCCCATCTCCTGCAGCTCAAATTCCTCCAATTCATCTTCAATCTTCTCTACATTGTTTATCTCATTTTCTTCTATCTCTTGCAACTCAATGTTCTCAGCAAATTCCTCAGAAGCTTCTCCCTTCATGATTAGTTCTTCTTCAACCATCTCTTCAGATTCAACAATTACCTCATCTTCCATGGTTTGGGTGACGCTCAACAAACCCAATAGCTCTTTTTTTCCATCCAAGAACTTATACCCAGAACCCTCATCTATTCCAAACGAAAGATTTCGAAAACCAAGTGTAGGAACCTCAAAAGCTGGAGCAGAGACGGGGGAATTCATGGAGGAAATATATGATGTACTTAGTAATAACACAACCAACAAAAGGAAATATTTTAACACTCCTCCCAGACTCCATGCTGTTTCATCCTCTCCCTCTTCAAATTCTTCATCTTCTTTGTCCGAAAGACTCTCACTTTCGACGCCGAATTCTTCATCTTCTTGAGAAGAAGAAGAAGAGGCCAAAGAAGAATTGTCACTAGAAACAGTGTCGGCTTCATCAGATTCTAGAGTGGAATTATCCCCTTCTTTGCCTTCCATTTCAAGGCGTAAAAAGATCTCCTTTCGCCTATCGGGATTATACCTTAGGAATTGAGGCCTTGGTGAAAGGTAATTCTTCAATGGGTCATAAGGACCCGGTGAAGGTGTCCCATCCCTGGAACCGTACGATAACGGTGTCTTTTGAAAAGCAGGCTCTTTAGAATTAACTTTGGGATCAAGATTTGGGGAATTCATCTGGGAAGCTTTTGCAATGATATTTGGTGAGGGCTTTGAATCAAGACTTGGGGATTTGGAGAAATGGGTAATGGAGGAATTTGATCCTGGAGATTCATTTCTTTCACCCAAGACTTTCTTTCTTGGAAAACTGAAAGTCTTCACAGTTTGTTTCATCGGTTTCTGCAAATTCAAACCCCTTAGCAGATTGGGTCCATCGTTCTCATCTGAAAAAAAAATCCCAAATTAAATAAATTTTAGAAAAAAAATCTAATTCAAAGACAATAACAAACAAAAGAAACAGAAGAAGAATCGGAGAGAAAAGCTTACCATTGGGAGAAGCGGATGATTTGATAGGACGAGACGAAAAATGTATTTTTTTCATCTTTTCTTTGTGTCTTTGAGTTTTGATTGGAAATGGTTTTCTTTAATTTGTTTTGCTTGTATATAGCGGGAAGAAAGAGAACACCAAATTTGAACCTGTTGACCGTTGGGAAGAATCTGTATTTTAGAAAATTTAAAATTGTACTGTACTTTTAACCGTTGGAAGAGATAGCCGTTGTTCAACGGTATAATGGAGCTCCACGTTTACCTACTTCCAGCGATATGAACATAGTCTTCCGTGACCACGGCCACATATTTTTAAATATTAACGGGACTTAGGCCTAGGCAACATGTGGATCTTAAAATTAAATTTTTATGTTATAAAATTTTAAAATATTTCATTTAAATAAATTTTAAAATTAATTTTTTTTAACTTTCAATCTTTTGATATTGAATGTTATTACCCTCACAATCGTAGTGCTCAAACTCGATACCTCAAATAATAACAAAAACTCTTTTATCACCGAGACAGGGACAACCAGGATTAAATATTGACATAGGCCGAAATATTAAACTACTTAAGAAAAATAAAATGACTTATTAAGTATCCATATTCAAGATTTAGCACAAACCAAGCAACATTAGTAATTAAGAGATTGTTGTTATCCTTGAGGTCTCGAGTTTGAGCATTACGTATGTAATGGTATAAACGTTGATTGTCAAATGATTAAGAGTCTTTGTACAAATAGTACCTTGTATTCACACCATATTTATATATAAAAAAACTCAAAATTTACGAGATAACATCTAATTTGTCTAATATTTAAACTTATAACGACTTAAATTGTTATTAGACCAAAAATTTGAGAACATGAGTTTATCGTTCTTTAGTTCATCCCCTACTCGATTAAATATTTAATAAATTCTTATATTTTTTAATTTAAATATAGTAGACTCAATTTATCATTTTCGCTCTTATCATATTTTCTCATCGATTTAGTCCTCAAAGTTCTTTAATTTCATCATTCTATACCCTACTTCTAACTTAAAATCCTAAATTAATAACCCTAAACTATAACCTCATAACCTCTAAACAATAAACTCTAACTTAAAATCCTCAATTGATTCGAAAATATGATAGGGTGAAAATGATAAGTTGGGTCTATTATAGGGACAAAAGGGTAACCTTTGCCTTAAATATTTATTTTACATTAACCAAAATATTATCTTACCAAAATTATATCGAATATACTAAATTTTTAACATGGATCAAGGGCCCTTTAGGCCCAAATAGAGCTCCACCTTTACATCGAGATCACTAGGGTTCGTGCTACGATAATTTTTAAATATTTATATTATAATTAATTTTCCTTTTGTGTTAATAACCGTGTAGTCGAAAGTATTTTATCTATATAACAAAGCCCAAAACTCAAGGTTCAAATGGCAACAAAATGCATAATATTGTTTTTTGTTCCTTCTTAATATATAGAATAAAGCATAATATTAGACACCAAAAAAATATTATACTTTTAACTAAAAAAATACAATCATCTAAGTCCAGCAACTATCACATTTTTTAATAGAATCTTTTTTTTAATAGTGTAAGTAATTATATAGCAATATTTGTTTAGAATTTTCTTAATATATCTGTCGTTACCGTCTTTCGGGTGAGCCCGGAATTTGACTTCGACTTAAATAGAATGATTTGGAGTCGTAACCGATCATTTATTTTAAGACAAATGGGTTGATTGAATACCTTATTTCTTACATGATCTGCGTCTTACCATTCGGGAGTCGATTACGGTCAAGGAATGATTAACACCCTTGAACCGTCCTTTCGGTACCAATTAATTTATCAATTGTCAGTGGGGTAGCGGTGGAAGCGGCGGCGTCCGTGGTTGTTCATCGAAGGATTAAGAAGGCGGGGAAGTGGGTCAAAGCAATGGAGATAGTGAAAGATTTTGAAGAGAAATGCGCGACGCCGATTTCGATGCTGAGGCAAGTGTCGGATGCCATGATCATCGAGATGCAAGCAGGCCTCGCCTACGAAGGCGGCAGCAAACTCAAAATGCTCATCAGCTATGTCGACAGTTTGCCTACGGGGTATTTTTCCCTTCGTTTATAAAACACAACATGCATTTAAGATCAATGTTCATTCAATATATAACATATTGCTTATGTATATGTGTGTTTATGTACCTACGCCGGCCTGAGTATGAGGAATCAGTTATCGATCATCATGTTCATGGACATGATCGAATGCGTTAACGCAATCATCTTACTGATATGTCGTTACTCTGTTTTCAAATACGATTTTGCGTCCACTTTCAGATAGGGACTTTCGTTGAGATTGTAATGCATTTTTCTTTACCTACATTAGGAAAAAGAAGGGATTGTTTTATGCATTGGACCTTGGTGGAACTAATTTCCGTGTGTTACGACTGCTACTCGGAGGGAAGGGTCGTGGTATCATCAATCAATAGTTCGTGGAGGTGCCGATTCCAACGAGTTTGATGACAGGGTCTTCATCGGATGTAAGTGCTTCTGCTCATTGATAAACGATCGGAGAACTGGTCGAGGCATAACGATGTCTCTAATGTATGATAGGTGATCTTGTTGATTACAGGAATTGTTCGACTTTATCGTAGCGAAACTCGCGAAATTCGTTGCTCAAGAAGGTCCTGATTTTAAACCAACTACTGGTAGGCAGAGGGAGCTTGGCTTTACCTTCTCATTCCCTGTGGTGCAAACATCCATTGCATCTGGCACACTTCTTAAGTGGACAAAAGGCTTCTCCATAAACGAAGCAGTCAGTTTTAATTGCCCACTGTTTTTTGTGTTCTTCATATATGGATGAATGCAGCAGCTCTTATCCTTCACTTTATATTTCTTTACTGTCATTGAGTGCTGAATTAACCAAAGCCATGGAATGACACGACCTCGACATGCGTGTTTCGGCTTTGGTAGGCTTATGTTATGTACCTTTGTATGCTTGAATTCGAGATCCGAATGCTTTTCATTATTGTTATTCTTTTCCCTGCCGTGCCTTACTGCAACCATTTCGATAAAGGTCAATGATACTGTCAGGACACTAGCTGGAGGTCGATACGCTGACAACGATGTTGTTGCTGCCTTGATCCTTGGTACTGGATTAAATGCAGCATACGTTGAACGGGCAGACGTGATACCAAAATGGCATGGTCCACTACCAAGATCTGGAGAGATGGTTAGCTGATCTTTAATTCCTATTAGTGGAACACTTTATACCTTCGACATCATTTCTTTCGAAAACTTAAGATGCTATCGGTATTCATCTGAAGGTCATTAACAGGAGTGGGGTAACTTTAAGTCAGCACATCTTCCATTATCAGAGTATGATCTTGGACTGGATGCTGAGAGTTTAATTCCTGGTGATCAGGTAAGTTCATAAATTAGCACTGTCCCGGTTTGTTTCGCTTTTGCCTACTCTCTAACATCATTTCTTCGCCTTATATTCGATCGGTTTGCCGCAAATTTTTGAGAAGGTAATGTCTGGTATGTATTTGGGAGAAATCGTCCGCAGAGTCCTAAGTTGGGTGGCTAAGGAAGCTGCATTTTTTGGTGACACAGTTCCACCTAAACTTAAAGTGCCATTCATATTAGGGTAATTTTGCACGGTTTTACAAAAAATGAAGAGTTCGAGTAACATAGTAACGGTCACCGGTTCTTTACCGATAATAATTGAGCCTTGCTAGCTTGCAGAACACCTGCCATTTCTGCCATGCATCAAGACACTTCCCCTGACCTCAAAATGGTAGCCAGTCACATTAAAGACATTTTCGAGGTATATTCTTGATCATCAAAACTTGGTTATTGAAGAAGTTCTATTAGCAAACTTCGTGTTGTGTTTAAGCCTTCTGTTACATCTCCTGCATTGCAGATATTTCTTTACTGTCATTTAGTGCTGAATTAACAGATATATTGTCCAGATTTGCAGCATTGTCGCGACACGGAAGGGGAATGGGACAGGATAGGATCACGGAAGGGGAGAAACGAAGGACGGCAATAGCTATGGACGGCGGACTATATGAACACCTCACGGAATATCGTAAATGCTTAGTGAATTGCCTAAATGAAATTTTGTAAAACTAATAAGATAAGACGATGAAAGATGAAAGAAAAGAACGCTTTGATGTAGTTGCATCGAAAGTGACATTTAATTATGGACGAATTATGATGGAGAATAATGTTGATAAATATATATATATATATATATAAAAAGCTAGAATATTAGTTTAATTTTAAATGAAGAATTATTTTATTTACTGCGGTGAAAAAAATAATTCAATAAGTAGGATTTTAATGCTTATATGTGCTTTATTTAGGATTTAAGATCATAGATTTTACGATCTATGGTATATGGTTTTAGAATTTAGAATTTAAAATTAGATATTAATGATTAGGGCATGTAATTATATAAAGGGTAAATTACATATTTGGTCACTTTCATTTCATTTTTTAAAACTTATGGTCATTCGATTCAAAAAAGTTAATTTGTAGTTATTTTCGTTTTGTTTTAATTAAGATGTGGTCATTGAAACGTTAACTTCCGTTAATTTTATGATGTGGTATGTTATTGAAAGGATTTAATTTTTATTTTAACCCCTAATCTTTAGATAAAAATACTAATAATGGACCTTTTTGTAAACCCAAAATTATTTAGGGAAAAATATAATTTACCCTTTTTTAATATGTTTTCTTCCCCAACCCCAATCTTCTTCACCGCACACTGCCAATGGAAAAGCTTAGTACAGGAAGAAGAAACGGAAGAATCAGACGGGCACATCAAATTATGGATGTTACATTTTACCACACAGTTTAAATAATTTTTGTAATTCAACTCGAGTATAAAATTATGATCTTTGTTTGTAGCTGTGAAGTATTACTCAGATGACTGGCCGACGAATTCTGCTAAGGAAGCTTTTGAGAAAAATGCGTTTGCCAAAACCCAAAAGACTAGTGCCCGTAACGAAGATCAGTTTGATCTGCAAAGGAAGCTTTTACTTGCTTCTCAGCACCTTGTTTTTACTGTTAATGCTTCCTTACATTTCGATTGATCTGAGCGTGTAATGCAAATCAAATAGATTTGTTTGTAAGGTATGTTCACTTGTAAGTTAAACAATTCACTGGGTTTGAGAATTTCGAAGGTTGTTTTGCTTTTGGATCGAGGGTTTAATCTAAGGGTACGGTAGTGAGCCTTGCGTTTATGCTGGTGGATGAGGAAAAAAATCTTAGCTTGGCGCAAGAAGATGGGGTTGGGGAAGAAAACATGTTAAAAAAAGGGGTAAATCAGTTGAATTTGTGTAGTTTACCCTTGTATAAATGAATGAATCAGTTGAATTTTCGTAGTGATAATGGTTTAAATCAATTGAATTAAGCTCCCAAATAAGAAAAAAATTCTGGGTTTATGACCATCCCAAGATGGGTTTTTAATACAAAGTACAAAACACAATTTACATATCAAATCCAACCGATATTTGCACCAAATTCCATCGACGTTTAAGCTAATGGAAAACACATCAAAACTTGCATATAGAACGACTTACATATACCGTTGAGTGCAATAAGTTTCATTGCAAAATAGGGTAAAAAAAACATAATTCAAAGGTCTCTTTCTTTTCCAACTTCAATGGAGAATCTTCCGAGGAAAACTCTTGTTATTATGGTGTCCAAGAGTTTCAAGCCTTCATCTTCCCCCCTGCTTACCGCTCCCAACTGTGAAAGAACAAAAACTTGTGTTCAATTTCATGTGCAACGGTTAATCATTTTCATAACAATAAAATCGGCACTCACGACAAAGTGCGGATAGTTCGGAGCTCTTCAACGCGCGCAGCCTCTTCACCGTCAACACAAACATGCTGCAAATCCAATACAATAAACCAGATTGTACACAGCATAGTATTAAATAGCCAAAACAAAACAAAACCGGTTTCATGTCGTACTTCGTGTAATGCGTGCATTAAGAAAGAATATGCCAACATTGAAGAAAGCATGCATGATTTTGGTTGAGATATAAGGAATCTAATGCTGTTTTTCCGGGAAAAACTACAAGACAAAAGAAAAGGGTATTCTACTATATTCTCAGTCACTAATATTGGGAATATAATATGGTATAGTATAATCTCAAATTGCAATCCACCAACAGTGATAAAAAGATGCTGCTTACTGCCATGGGACATCCCCAACAAGCATACTGTCTCCTTCGTTATCCTCATAAATAAGTGTATATTCTCCACTTCCATCCAATACGCCGGTAATCGCTTTCTCCCCGTCTTCCTCGTTCACTATTCCACCAGCAGAGGAATCTCTTTGAGCTATATGGTCCGAAGAAAACAACAAACGGATGAGATAAACCATATCTGTCATTTGTCAATTAAGATCACATTACCATAGCCTAAGAGCTTAATTGCAATAAGAACAAGCAAATGAGTCCAAAGTTTTGGCCCTTGAAATATGCAAATCCCCCACTTCCATCACCTAAACCGTTGAAAACTAACACTGATGTGAACTGATAGGTAAACCAGATAAGTTGCTGCTGATGTAGGTGTCATATTAAACAATGAATAAAACAATTTTTCCCCCATGTGGCTAATGGGGACATACTATCATATCTACTTAACCTAATCCAAGTGGAAAAAAAAATTTACCAGCAAGGAGGCCTCTGAAGAGTTCATCCACAGCAGTTGACAGTTTTTCATAGCTATCATAGGCTTTGAGATCCACTTTCCTTCCTATGGGAACACCATCCATGTTGATTTTCACAAACAGGCCTTTGCCATTAGGTTCAGCTCCTGGTTTTTCACTAGCCACCTTCTGGGGAGGGTCCACACTTGGTGAATCAGAAGATAGTTTTGAAGAACTGGCGAGATTTTTCCTTATGGAGCGAATTGGAGGCCAACCCACAACTGGTCCAGGAGCAGTTCTATTTTCCATGATAATCATAATTAGACCCAAAAAAAGTAACCAATGAAAGATTAAATGGAGATTTCAGGTTTAACATGAGAAACATAAAGAAATGAAACAAAACAGGTATCAGGAACAGCATGCATGGGGGATGGACCACACAAGCATCAAGTAATGTAACTTGTAGTGAATATCCTCTGTCAAAAAATTGATTTCAAAAGGCAAAAATAAATTTAAAGATATGCAGAGAGAGAAGAAAGAGAGATGTGTAAAAAGCTGTAGTACCTTTTATGAGAAGTATTGAGAGGCACAGCTGTATTTGCAGGAGGTTTAAATGCTTTTCTCTCAGCATCCTGCAAGTCCACCACTTTATTGCTGCAGGGCTGTGACGATTCCTTTGCCATAAAAGGTAAGCTATTCGGTGGGGCAGTTGTTGATGGGAACTGGAGAAATGAACAAGTCTTTGTCTGCTGTTGGTGGTGGTTTTTGCCCCATGGAGTGGACAAAACTGACCCAACACCAACAGGGTGGTTGTCCTCTGGACATGGAAACTTGTGTGCTAGTTTTCCATTGTTCTTCATTGAAGAAGAGAAGTACCCGGGTGAGAGTAAAGACTCATCTCCCTCCGTGTTGTTTCTGATGGACGACAACCAGTTTTCCTCACCTGGTGGACCAAGCCTCAGTTCCAGCTTCTTCTCCTCTGAAGATCCATCCTTTATTTCATCTTCTCTCTTCACATGATGCCACTCTCTCCGTTGAGGAATCAGATCAAGAAGTAGAGGACGTGACTCAACATTCTTTGAACAACCGCTCGCCATCAACTAAACAAAACAAATCACCTTTCCTCGATAACTTTGAAGACCAAGAACTAGCAACAAATTGAAAATATATCTATATAAAAAAAAGCTATAAGTTAAACCATGCATATGGCAAAAACGAAGATGGGAAGTTGATGAATATACCTTAAAGGGATAAATCAGTCAACCAGAGCTCAAAACAACAAAGACCCACATCACGAAATCAACAGAAACTTTAAGTTTAGCAAAGAAAAACCCTGAGAGGAAGATGTGAAGAAACTAGCTAACAAAGCAAGAACTATGGAGCTTAGAGAGCCTCTCAACCAATAAATGCTTTAGAAACCGACACCTTTGAATGAGAAAAGCCAGACCAAAAACGCCATATTATAAAATATATACATATATAAAAATCACAGCTTTGAAATAGAAAAAACCCCAACAAGGTGAAAGGTAACCTCCCAAAAGAACAAAGTGGTTTTAGTGGCAACCCAAAGTGCAAAGGTTAGAGAGAGTGTGTGTGTGTGTAAGTGTGTTGTTCTTGCCCTCTCTTTCTAGGACTCCATATAGGCAGGTGATTCTTCAGATGCAAAATGTTTCACTATCTTACACGCAATATTAATCAAAGAATACAAATAAATATAGTTAGAGAATTCCCTTTAATAAAATATGGTCTCTTGTCTCAAAGTTTAATGAAAAATTGCATTCATCTCTCGGGTTATATTTGCTAATTAAATTTTAAATAAAGAGATTTATATTTTATTCATTAATTATAATTCTATTTATTTTGGGATAAACTATCTAATTCATCTCCCACATATCATTTAGTTTCTGTTTCATCCAAACATCGCCACCGTACATAGATCATACTTCATGATCCGAGCACGGTGTTCAAGGCCATGAAACATCAGCCACATCCGTTTATTCCAAAACCAACGGTGATGATGGAAAGGGGAATGTAAAAACGAGTTTGGTCATATCATAGTTTTTTTATCATTTACTTGAGAGAATAGAAATGACAAAAACAAAACTCAGATAAGGCGCACTAAAGCTAGCGGTCTAATCATGCTACTCTTGTTCGATGGGACACCCTCCACCGTCTGACTAACCATGCTTATTTCTTGGCTATGATTTGTCTTTGATTGAAATTGGTACCATCAAGGTAACTTTTATTTCTTAAATTCAATATTTTTTAGTTTAATTTATGCTGGTTTTATCTGAATTGTGATTCTCTTGTTCCCCTTTACTTTAGGCATTTCCTTTTCCAAGTGCCTTTTCTTTGTCTTCACTTCCATTGATTGCTTTATGACTGTTTTTGTTTAATGGGTTTCATTTGTGTCTGGTCTTGCTTCCCTTTACATATAATTTTTCATGCGCCGCTATTAATGTACTATATCACTTGTTGGCATTGATGTCCATGTCCCCCAACCTCACTCTCACCCTTTGAGCTAACAAGACCCACCAATCAATACCCTAATCACAAACATGCATTCGAATATGTGCTTATTTAGTAAATTTGGAAGTGTTTACAGGAACAAGTTTATATCATTGCTCGTGAGAAGTTTATTCTTCTGATTTGACGAAAAGTCATAATTGGTGAGAAGACTATCGTCGGTCGGTGTTTAAATAAAGAGTACAATAAATTATCATGAGGAATAAGACAGAGGGTCAGCTGTGAGTGGTCTATCCCCTTTGTAATCTCAATTAGAGTATTTATAGTAGTCTTTAGTGTGTGTCGGCTACAGTGCCATAAAGACTATTTGTAAGCTAATTAGACTAGAAAGATCTGGTGGTTGAATGATCGTTGGTCGGTGTTTGGATGAAGAGTAGAGTAGATTATCATGAGGAATAAGAATAAGGTCAGATGTGAGTGGTAAATCCCCTTGTTTGATCTCAATTTGAGTATTTATAGTGATCTTTAGTGCGAGTGCCAATAGTAAGATTATAATGACTATTTATATAATAATCAAACTAGAAAGATCTGGTGGTTAGACGATCATTGGTCAGTGTTTAGATGAAAAAATATAACAAATGATTGTCCCTTTTTCTTATATATATGGAGTAAGGGGAGGTAAGATAGTAGGCTACTCCCAACATCAGGTTGAGAGCAGCTTTCGTAAGAGACCTCCGAATTATGAAATATCCTTCGAAGAACTCGATCCCACAACCTCAAGATTAAAAACTTTGTGCTCTACCAACTGAGCTGGATGGTCATTTCTTGATGAAAAATATAATAGATTATCATAAAGATTAAGGAGGCTCGACCTTGAGTAGTCCCTCCCTTTTCAAATCTCAATGGAGATATTTGTAGTGGCTTTAGTACGTGTGTCATCCGTAGGCCATAATGGCTATTTATAAGCTAATAGACTAGAAAGATCTAATTGTTGGACCTTGGATTTCGTCATGGTTAGTCATGTGGGCCACAAAAGATTTGTCTAGTTCTCGTCTATGCACGGTAGTTAACTTACGAGTTTGTGCCTGGGGATGCAAGCTTTCAAGGATTCCAACAAACAGAGAAATCTTTGTGAGAACCAATTACTAATGATGTGATGAAATATTCAATATGACAAATATTATAAAATTTTTGAATGGTATCTCCAAAAGTATAATAATTAGTGAAAGCAAAAAAAAACTTTAAAATATAATAAAAATTACACAAAATATAAACTAATATAAATTAATATAAATGAGGTGAGAATGAATATAATTAAAATAGATAAATCAAATATGCTAAAGGTTTAAAGAGCTTAGAGATGGCAAAAAAACTCGTACTCGACGGAAAAAATCGAAAATCGAATTAAACGAGGACCGGAAAAAATCATTTATGTTAAACGGAGACGGTGATGGGGAAAAACCGTTTATGTTAAACGGGGACGGGGATGGGGACGGGTTTAGTAATCTCCGCCCCGATTACCCGGCCCGATAAATATTAAAAATAATTATTATATATATATATAATATTAATAAATTTAATTTAAATTAAAATATATATATAATATTTATATATTTAATTTAAACATATATACTCGGCCCGATACCCATTTAAATAACCGTTTATGCTAAACGGAAATACCCGTTTCCTCGCGGTTTTCCCCAATTACCCGATGGGGATCCCTGTTTAAATCCTCGCAATTTTTTAAGCGGGGACGAATACAGATTTTTTAAACGGAGACGGGGAACCAATACCCGATCCGTTGCTATCCCTAAAAGAGCTCTTGGTGTATCAATAATAGCAATGAGTATAAAGAAAACTCTAAATTAATAAATGGATTATTAGCTCTAAATTTCTAAAAGATAAAATAAAATAAAATTATGGTCATGTTTGTGATTATCAGAAGCATGAAGTAGCTAGCTAAAAGGGCAAGATGTTGATAACAACCATCTTCACTATGAGAGCCTTTATTTTTTGTCAAGGGATCATGCTAATGACCATCATTAGGATATATTTTAAAAGTAGCATAGAGTTATAAAATAATTCACATTACATGCAATAGTTTAGAATCGCAACGCGATTCAGAAAATCGCAACGCGATTCAGAAATCGCAACGCGATTCAGAAAATCGCAACGCGATTCAGAAATCGCCAACGCGATTCAGAAAATCGCAACGCGATTCAGAAAATCGCAACGCGATTCAGAAAATCGCAACGCGATTCAGAAAATCGCAACGCGATCTTCCAAGAATCGCAACGCGATCTTCCAAGAATCGCAACGCGATTAAGAAAATCGCAACGCGATTCAGAAAATCGCAACGCGATCTTCCAAGAATCGCAACGCGATTAAGAAAATGAGTAAATTCTTTCAAAAGTTGTTGCATTTGTTTCTTTCTTAAGAATTTTCTCTAAAAAGATAGTATCCGCGCGGACGTGTCGAAGACACGTATTACAACCACGACCACGACCACGACCACGACCACGACCACGACACGACCCGACCCGAGACGAGACGGCGGCGGCGGCGCGCGAGAGTCCCCCTTGTTCTCTTTCATCAACAAGGAAATGGGAAATCCCAAGCCTTAAATACACTTCCCAATAGTGTTTCCAATACTATGTGGGATTGAGCATTACTCAACACTCAAAGAAAATATAGCAATTTGTAGTATTTTCCACTTAATCCATATCTAAAATATTAAAACATTTTATCAGAGAAATTAAAAGAGTGTAGATATCTACATTTCAATTCAAACTTATACATATAGTTTAATATGATAAAATGTTTTAATATTTTTAAATATGGATTAAGCGGGAAACATGCTACAAAAATTGCTATATTTTCTTGAAGTGTTGAGTAATGCTCAATCCCACATAGTATTGGAAACACTATTGGAAGTGTATTTAAGGCTTGGATTTCCCAACCGCAACGCGATTTAGAAAGCGCAACGTTGAAAAGAAGATCGCAACACGATCTTCAAGAATCGCAATGCGATTCATAAAATCGCAACGCGATCTTCCAAGAATCGCAACGCGATTCAGAAAATCGCAACGCGATTCAGAAATCGCAACGCGATCTTCCAGAATCGCAACGCGATTAAGAAAATCGCAACGCGATTCCAAGAATCGCAACGCGATTCAGAAAATCGCAACGCGATCTTCCAAGAATCGCAACGCGATTAAGAAATGAGTAAATTCTTTCAAAAGTTGTTGCATTTGTTTCTTTCTTAAGAATTTTCTCTAAAAGATAGTATCCGCGCGGACGTGTCGAAGACACGTATTACCACGACCACGACCACGACCACGACCACGACCACGACCACGACCACCACGACCCGACCAGACCACACACGACCCGAGACGAGACGGCGGCGGCGGCGCGCGAGAGTCCCCCTTGTCTCTTTCACTCAACAAGGAAATGGGAAATCCAAGCCTTAAATACACTTCCCAATAGTGTTTCCAATCTATGTGGGATTGAGCATTACTCAACACTTCAAAGAAAATATAGCAATTTTTGTAGTATTTCCCACTTAATCCATATCTAAAAATATTAAAACATTTTATCAGAGAATTAAAGAGTTGTAGATATCTACATTTCAATTCAAACTTATATAGTTTTAATATGATAAAATGTTTTAATATTTTAAATATGGATTAAGCGGGAAACATGCTACAAAAATTGCTATATTTTCTTTGAAGTGTTGAGTAATGCTCAATCCACATAGTATTGGAAACACTATTGGGAAGTGTATTTAAGGCTTGGATTTCCCATTCCTTGTTGAGTGAAAGAGAACAAGGGGGACTCTCGCGCGCCGCCGCCGCCGCCGTCTCGTCTCGGGGTCGTGGTCGTGGTCGTGGTCGTGGTCGTGGTCGTGGTAATACGTGTCTTCGACACGTCCGCGCGGATACTATCTTTTTAGAGAAAGAAACAAATGCAACAACTTTTGAAAGAATTTACTCATTTCTGAAGTTGCGATTCTTGGAAGATCGCGTTGCGATTCTTGGAATCGCGTTGCGATTTTCTGAATCGCATTGCGATTCTTGGAATCGCGTTGCGATTTTCTTAATCGCGTTGCGATTCTTGGAAGATCGCGTTGCGATTTTCTGAATCGCGTTGCGATTTTCTGAATCGCGTTGCGATTCTTGGAAGATCACGTTGCGATTTTATGAATCGCATTGCGATTCTTGGAAGATCGCGTTGCGATCTTCTTTTCAACGTTGCGCTTTTCTAAATCGCGTTGCGGTTTTGATATCGCGTTGCGATTTTGTTGGTCATTTTGGCAAATCAAAAAAAGTTGGTTAAAATCGTATATTATAAGGCATTTTTGGTCACTGAGGCGATTTTCTCATTTTATTATTATGATACACTTTCTTTTGAATTTATGAAACATTTTTCTCAGTCTTTTGACAAGTATTTGGTTGTTTGACCATTTTTTCGGTTAATTTTCTCAGGATTGAATTTAACGACGTACGCTTTGACTGATCAAGATAACGCTTATTTGTTATCCTATTGATCTTCCATGCTTTTAGACCCTCGGATTGGATTTAGATATGCGATTTACGTTCGGAAATAATTTTCTCACGATGCTCAACTATGATTTGCAAATGTTATTTGTCTTTCAATAGTTTGAAATATTATTGTGATTCGTTTGTCGATTCAGTTAGATCTGTTCATATTTATCTTTTATTCGAGTTTTTTAGTTGAGTTTTTTTACATTTTCTTTGTATGATCCTTATATGATTTCAAATTTCTAGTTTCTTGTATTAATAATTATATGGACATGCCGTATTAGATTTTATCTTCTTATTTTTTTTAATAAAACTAACGATTTCTTTTCACGTAAAAAAAACTTTTTTATATAAACTTATGATTATAAGATATAGTTAACCTCACGAATTTACGGAAATTCCTTAGGTATAATTGATATGTTATACAGTCTGATCCATTAAAAAATATCACATTTGTAAGATTATTAGTTATATTAAGAAAATTACTAGTTAAATTAAGGGGTTAAATATATAAAAGGTGTCCAACCTATGCCTGTTTTTTCAGTTTAGTGCCTAACATTTATTTTAATTCAGTTTGGCGTCTAACGTTTTATTTCGTTACTCAAAATGGGTCAAGTCGTGACAGACCATTAGTTTTCTCTGTTAAGTGACATGTGTCACAATATGATAAATTTAATTTTTTTATATAAAATTAAAAAAAATTATATATTTTTAAAAAAAGAAAACACATAAATTTTGAAATAACCCTAAAAATTTGAAAACCTTCATTTTAACCCCTAAACCCATGTCGATCATCACCCTTTGGAGTAAATGAACCTCCACTCGACCTCACTCCTCCCGACGACCAAAATCCCTATGAAATTGTGATTTATTAACAGTCAATCAACGATGAATCAATGTTTTATACCCTACGAATCCTAGGATGAAAATCGCAATCCCAGGCGATTTCGACTACTAATCGACGACAACTACAACGACTTATAACTAGTATGATGATAAGGACTACGTTGACGGTGGTGGTCGTGGTCGAAAAGGACAACAATTGTGGGTTAGTGTTAGGATTGGGGATTTGAGGGATTTTGAGGTTTTTTTGTAATTTAATAGAAATAAGGTTTTTTTTTATAAATATAATAATATTTTAAATATTTTTAAAATAATAAATTTCAAAATTACGAGATTGTGACACGTATCACTTAACGGATAAAACTAACGGTCCGTCATATCTTGACCCATTTTGAGTAACGAAATGGAACGTTAGGCACCAAACTGTAACGAAATAAACGTTAGGCACTAAACTGAAAAAATAGACATATGTTGGTAGGCTTGTAAACGAACCGAAAGCACACGAACGGAGATATGTTCATGTTCGTTCATTTAATAAATAAACGAACATAAACGAACAAATTTTTTTGTTCATGTTCGTTCATTAAGGAATATAACTTGTTCATGTTCGTTCATTTAAATGATAAACGAACATAAATGAACGTAAACGAACATAAACGAACGAACATAATAAATGAACATAAACGAACAACACAAACACAAAAAAAAAACTATTCGAACACAACAATGAATGTAAAAAAAGTAAACAACAGAATAACAACTTAAAATTCATTAATATATCCTGCAACTTTAGAGTAATTTGTTCGAATACGACAAAAACATACATAAATAATAGCTATATTAATATAATAAAGTCTTAAAGTTAATTTGTTCAACGAAACCATCTTCTTGAAATCCAAATGACTTCAATATTCTTCGTAACATATTCAACTTGCTCTATGTTCGAACATAAATGAACGAACATAAATGAACATAAATGAACAAACATATAATTGAACGTTTACGAACGTAAATGAACGAACAAGCCATTTGTTCGTGCTCGTTTATTTAATTAAACGAACGCAAAATCTTGGTCATGGTCGTAAATAAACGAACATAAACGAACTTCCTGCCGTACGGTTCGCTGAACGTTCAATTCATTTGCAGGCCTATATGTTGGACACCTTCTGTATATTTAAGACTTAAATTAACACATAATAACTATCAAAACTATCAACTCAAAAGATTTATCGGATGAAATTTATTTATTTAAAAGCTAAATTTAAAATTAAAAAAAAACTTAATTATTTTTTTAAAATGAATTTCTTATATCTTAAACTAATATAAAAATGAACTGGATTTAGAAAGATAATTAATATTTACCTTAAACTAATATAAAATGAATTGGATTTAAAAATAATAAATTTTAATTTTAATTAATTATAAACTATAGAGCATTAGAGTGGTTTTGTATTTAAAGTTAATAAATATATAAGTAACCCGCGTAATTGAGAGCCAGAATAGAAATTCAAAAATCAAACGGCACAAAATATAGATTGAAGACGCGAAGAAAGAAGAAAATCTTTGAACAAAAAGAAGACAACCTGGAGGATGCGGAGTACGAAATCAGTAAGGAAACCGCTGAGAGATTTAACGAACAATGAAAGCACAATGAGCCTCTTCAAATCAGAGATTCCGAAGAAGAAAATAATCCCCAAAAACAGTAATAATCAGAGCGATTCCTCCCTCGATCGCCTCCTTCTCCTTCACTCCGATCTGTCGTCCTTCCTTCGCCAGGTACTGTACAATGTTTTTCTTTCTTCTATTCTTAATTATGTTTGATGCATTTGGTTAGGGTTTATCTTTTGTTAGTCTGGATTTTCATGTTTCAATGAAATATTTATTTATTCATTTTTGTTTGACCATATTCAATAATAATCCTCGAAATATAGTATACTTGTATTAGACGAGTCCGGTTAACATAGGATTTAGCTTCTGTTTGCTTCCAGAGAAAAAATGACCAAATTATGTAAAAATGTCCGACTTTACATAAGCTGTTGTCTTTTTCATCTTAATTGCTCCTCATTTTTTTCTTTCATTTTGTGTATTTATGTTCCAGATAACATTAATATCTCTCATATAGATCCCTTTGGTTTTATAATCCGATTTCCGCTTTGTTTTCCCCTTGAAAAATGTGACTGGTAAAATACCTAGATTATTTTTGGACATGGCAGATTGATGAATTTGTTGTACAAGCTTTCAAGCTGAAGGCAGCAGAACAGGGGAGAAAAGAAATTGAATCTTTCATGGATGTCATTTCAAATATGGTTTCAACTTTGAAGGCTAATCCTTTCAAGTCGATTTTCTAAAATATGTTACTTGAATTTGAATGCATTTGTTGCAGATTTTTGAAGGCTAATCCTTTCAAGTCGATTTTCTAAAATATGTTACTTGAATTTGAATGCATTTGTTGCAGATTTAACATAGATTATTGTTTCCTATATTTGCAGCCATGGGTCCCCAAATTTCATAAGGCGTTTTCGAGTCTTTCTGCTGGAGAGCACAAAGATCAGCCAGGAAAACACTTGGAAGCTGAAACTGTGTCTTTTATTGATACAAATGGAAAAGAATGCTTTGATGTTGGAAGTCCAGAAGAAACAACATTGGACTCGTTAATCTCTCCTTCTCCACTCGTGTCTTGGCGTCCGGCTGGCTGTAATGTTGGGAGAGGTAGACAGTTGTTTCTTCTCACACCTCTTTCCATGTCAAAAGCAATGTCTTCCAGGAGGTGTGACTCGTCTAAATCGGTATTCGAAGGGATGCTTCCAAATCTAATGTTGAGCTTGCATCTTTTCTCGACATTCCTAGGGATGAAAATGATGACTTGGTTGGAGGTGCTGAAATAAAGGCAACTCCTGTTAGGCCTTCTTGTTCAATTATGGTTAAAACAGATAATACATTGAAGCGTGGGTTTGTTTCTTCACCGGTGTCTTCTAAAAGAGACCATCCAGTGTTTGTCATGACGCCATGCTTAAAAATGTCACCTCCTAAATCTTGTGTGCTGCTCGAACCTATTCAAGAGTCCTGGGACCGAAGCAAATTCGTAGTTCAAAAGTCTACCCCGTATCCCTTTGGAATTAACAACAGTTGTTTTTTTGAATCCTCTGGAAGCGAAGAAGCCTCTGAGGATCTGACTTTGAAGTACCCAGAATTACGAGGAATACAACCAACATTCGTACCAGAAATCAGGAAAAAGGAGCTGGAGTCCTCACCAACGTGGTTATTCTCACCTCCTAAAAGCTGCATTTTGTTGGAGCCTCCAGATGAGAAATCCCTGGACAAAGTCGGCACTGATCACCACTTGCGTATCATTAGTGATTTAAATCAACAACCGGATATGGTTTTCTCGAAACAAAATGGAGTCACAGATGCTTGCCAAGAAAGCAAAACAATTAACCAAGGTGTATATCTTTGTACATATGTTGTTGTTTATTAATTCACTGATGTTTTCTGTTTGAGAATTAAATTGAGTATAAACTCTCTTGTTCTGCAAATCACAGGAAACAACTTGGCTCCTGTAGAAAGTAGTCCAATGTGGAAGGAACCTCAGAGCACGATGCGGAGAGGGAAACATGCGGGTGAGAGTACCCTAAAGAAAGAGTTATGGACAAAGTTTGAGGCAGCGTCGACTTATGGGCCTCGTTAATACACCTCTGCAGTTGAAAGAACGGCTAGAAAAGGATTTCTTGCCATGCTGGATGAGGTTTCATGTGATGAAGAAAGTTCAGTATCAGATGGTTTGAGACGACACTTGAATGCAATTTCCCCTTCTAATAATTTGTTGAACATCAATGTAAAACCTTCAGAACGAGAATATCTTTTGGGGATTTGATGCTGACTGATTTCCCAACAAAGTTGAAACGTACCATAGTTGAACCTGAGAGCCTCTTTTTTCTTTTCCTTCTCAAATCATCAAATTTCATACTACCTTCCAAAGAGTGGAAAATTAGGAGAAAGGCAACCCCTCCTTATAAAGCACCAAATTGATTATTTTGAAGTTTTAAAATATTTCATACAATTTTTAAATTTTAAATTATTTAATTCAGTAAATTTTCACTCCAATCAAACAATGACATGATAGGGACAGATCTTATATTTAGTAATTAATTATAATATTTTATATATATCTTATATTATAATTATTGAGAGAGAAAAAAATAACTAAGTGAGGACTTAAATTTAAGTCAATTGGGGTATGAGAGCAGAGGACCTAATCTAATATAGTTCCATATACTTAATTTTCTTAATATAGTTCCATATATTTAATCGTCCAAAAATAAATATAAGAAATAAAAAATAATTTAATTTTAAAATATAAAATATAAAATTAAATCTTAAATTTATTTTTACTTTATATCTTTTATTAACTATATTTTAAACTAAATATATATATATATATATTGGTTTAAGCAATATGTAGTAACTAAATTATGCCGCACATTATTGATGGTGTATTCCACAGCACTAATCTTGCAGGTTTCAAGATATCTACTTACAAGTTATTGAGTTAACCCAAGATGTGAATAAACTATAGTAATTCTTGATCCTAGAGGTGTATATGTGTGTGGTGTGTGTTAATCTTGTGGTATTAACTAATGATACAAAGCAGAACCATGCATGCAACAAAACCCTTCATTAATGCAGCTTCCTGCAAATTACTGGTCCGCCATTAACACCCTGAACCGATGACAGATAACATATAAAAAAATCTTTATTATGCCTTTTCTCTCTGTTGCATTTAGATGAAAGATACGACATGAATTGACATTGGTATACACATGCAGAGACAGAGATTCACGCATTAGCTTTTGTGTACTTGAAAATGATGTCATGATTACGTTACGCTGTGTTGTGGTAGCAATGGACGAAATCATTTTTGCATTGATGAAGCTCAACTAATACATAACTTACAGGCAAACTATAAGAGACCTACAAACAGATGACAAAATCAGCAACCCAAATATCTTTGCATATTAATGCACTACTTATTTCTGCATGGATCATGATATCTTTGTTATTTGGGCCGACATGCGGTCTCCATTGGCCCTGCTTGTCTTGCCACCTGAAAATAAGCTTCAAGCTTCTTCCTCAATGTTGCGTATTCCTTCTTCAGTTGCTGGAAAGTCCTCATGCAACTGCTAAATCAACCCATTTTTAAAAAATTCAAACAGTAATATTCTTCAATCCTGGCCCAGACTAGTTCTGGGTTTTGTTTAAAGCATGAATGCAAGAGGGCCTGATGGGGTTTACCCTTCTCCATTTCCAGATTTGCAGTATTCCCTAAACAGTGTGCTCTCAGCTTTCACCCTTTTGGCTCCAATGCTGCAAACCAACCAGAAAACAAAATCAAACTAAAACACACACACACAGGCACAGATATATATATATAATTGGTTGCAACAAAGCCAACATGCATAGGCCATAGAGTATACAAGATTATTGTGACTCCTTTGATATATGTTACCTTGAACTGCTTCCTTTGAACTGGTGCATATAGCCATCCAATTTATTAAAATCAAAAGGCTTCCTCTCCCTGATCAACAGAACCAGAAAGGAAGTATAAGAGTTTTGCTCCATGATCATTTTTTTTTTCATATTGGTTATCACGTTGTTATTAGATTATAAGTAGTGGAAACTTGAACTTACAGCGCCTGCTCTATATTGAGGATTAATCTGGCCGAATCACGGAAGTATAAGGTGACAACTTCTTCTACGAAATTCGGGTTCGCATCGTCTTGGAGTTCTTCCAACTGCACGAACTGTTCATCAAGATATCCCTGCAATCATCACATACTAAGTACTTTGCAGTGATGGATAAATAAACATGAGGCGATGAAAAAGATTGGCAAAATGTGTAGGAAAACAAACCTGATCGAACAAGGATTTCCTCATGACTTGAAGCTGCCTACGCATGGGGTTTCTCTCCATTATAAGAAACAATGCTCGAGGGAAGCTTCAAGGTTGGAATGACAGTGCAATTAATGACAAGGGAGAAGGAGGAGTTTATATAGTGGAGAAATCCTAGCCAAAAAGAAGCAAGGGGGGACTAATGAGTGCTGAAGAAAGGTAATGAAACAGCTAGAAAATAGAGATTATACTAACTTTGCAGGTGATGGTATTCTGATTCTGTTTCTAAACGGAAAAATACCTGATTTGTTTGTCGGGTTTTTTTTTAATTATTATTTTAATTTGTTGTTGTTGTAAAATCAACCCTTAAAAAATAATCATTGCTTTCAGCAGATTCTATGATTCTATCTGTGACATGAGGTTCCTGTCCTTTCGGCTTTATGCACTTAACTAATCCCTGTGATTAACTTAAAACCATCGACACTGAAGAGACACCATATAGTATTTAATAATATAGGAATTTGTGCACTCATTTCTTGGCTATTTTGCTACCTATTAATTCTTCGCCTATATAAAATTGGTTCCCCACCCCCAAATATATATATATATATATATATTATATATATATATATATATAAACACTTGAAGAACATAATGTGAGATTTGCGAAGTTCATGTTTAAACAAACTCAATTTTGAATTGTCAAAAGACCGTGAACTTAATCAGATCCATGTTAATACGACAATCAAAATAATTTTTGCTATTAGAATATTTAAGAAAACAACAACCGATTGAGTTTTGAACTTGGTCTGATCATGTTCAATCATTGTCGTTCACTGTTTAAATTCAACATGTTTAACCATGAGTTTTTCAACTCACACGTTATTAAAATATAACTTTTTAAACATACGTTAATTGCTTGATTGAAGATAAAATTGGGGCAAATTTTATATCTTTGTTACATTTCCCGTATATTTTGTTAAATTTATACTCATATTATCGTCAAATACTTCGTATAAAAAAATATTGTCCCACGTTACATAAAAATCTAATTTAAAAAAATAATATTAAATTAATGTTATTTTTATTAATATTTCTTTAGTGATTATTATTTTATTTTTAAATCATGTGATTATTTATATTATTATTAAATAGATGATAGTTGTGATGATTGAGGATACCGTATATGATAAATGTTAACTCATTTCGATGTGCTTTCAATTTATCCCATCAATTATTTTATTCAAATATTGTCGGAATCAAAATGATGGATCGAATTTGTTAAATAAAAAATCATCACATCAAAGTGATATGGCTGTTCTCTTTAAATTGTTTTTAACCTTAAATCACTTGAAACTTAAAAATTGATCGAACTAATTAAATCAAGGGTAAATTATGCATTGAATACGTAAATTATTGATTTTGGTTTGTTTTAATATCTAAACTTTCATTTTTTTCCAAATCATATCTAACGTTTAGTGTTTATTTCATTTTAGTATCCCTTTATTAAAGACTTAACAGATGGACTGACATGGCATAGCTCTGATGGGCGGACGATCAATCCGACCTATGGACCACGAGAAAACAACAAGTTGACCAATATAGTCCAGTTTCAGGCCCATAGGACGGTGGACCATGGAGAATGGAAGATGAAGAAATTGAATAGTCCAATGTCGATTTGGGAAGATTAAGGCGATTTTTCGGTGAAACGGAAGCCAAAATCGCATTTAAGGGGTCAAAAAATGCGGGCTGAAAAATTTGGGCTTCATCGGTCGACGGATGCAACAGTCGACGACTATAGACTCGGCGGCCGGCGAGCCCGTCCATTAGTTTTTAACAGTAAGCTATTAAAATAAAACAAAAACTAGACGTTAGATATGGTTTTTTAGAAAAATATAAATTTAGGTACTAAAACAATTTAAAATTGATTGTTTATGTATTAAACGCGTAGTTTACCCTTAGGTGGCGTTTGGTTTGCTAGAATCCCTTGGAATTAGGGGGAATTGGAATCCAATTCCACCACTTTCCAATGGTTGGTTCAAGTTTTCAAAAGGGGAATTGGAATTCAATTCCATCAAATGAGGGAAAGTAAATTTCATCTATAACATGATGGAATTGAAATCCTTTGGAGGAGAGAATGTGAAATTTGAGCATACTACCCTCATCAATCTTTTGGTATTCGGGTAAGATTTTTTTAAAAAAAATTGGGATCTGGTCGGGCTTTTTTAAGTTTGATATTCGGGTCGGGGTTGGGGTTTTTTAAAAAAACATTCGGGATCGGGTCGGATTTTTTAAAAAAATTTGGGTTCGGGTCGAGTTGGATTTTTTAGGTGTGATATTTGGGTTGGGTTTAGGGTTTAGGAATAATTACAATAATATCCCTCTATATGTATTTTTTTCAATTAAGTCATTGTTTTTATTGAATAAAAATATTTTTAATATTATTTCATGTCGTGTCGGGTTTCTAATTCATATATTTGGTCGGGTTGGGTCGGGTCTCGGGTGGAGGTTCCCTTGTTCTCGGGTCGGGTCCGGTGGACCAAAAACCCGACCCATGGCCATTTCTAATTGCGATGATTTTAACTTATGATGTTTATTAGCATGATTTTTATAATTTATTGAAATGAATAATCAATCATTAAAATAAAATTTTAATATTTTTAAAATTTTTATAATATATTGCTACATGTAAGTTATAAAACAAACTAAAATAAAACAAAAAAACAAGAAGGGTAATTCTGTCATTTTACATTACTTAAATCAAAATCATCTGACATGTCTGCGAACCAAACAGAATATGGAATCGGATTCCAATTCAATTTTCTGCCAACCAAACATGTTTCAGATTCAGATTCTAATTCCTTCACATATTCCAATTCCCTCAAAAACATTCCAGCGAACCAAACGCCACCTTAAAGTCAATTAGAAAACTAACTTAACTAGTTCATATTTAATTTATTTTAACTTGTGAATTTAGGATTTTTCTAAGCCTAATAAACATACTCGACCAATGGTAGATCCAAAAGTATATGTTATAGTAGGCACACATATGTTAATAACATTAAAAAAATATTAAAACGACATGGGCACAAATAAAACTTCAGGGTAGGTACCATCAATAAAATAAATAATTAACTGAAAAAATTCGAATTTTAAGGTATGCACAAATACATATAAATCCACCATTGCACCCACCACTAGGTCATAGGTAAACTACTGATTTATTAATAGATTAATTTATTAATAAGAAATAGAAATCTTGCAAACTATGGGACTCAAATTCAACATTGCAAGAAAAATAAAAATTAAGCAAACTAACCATTAGGCTATAATTCAACTGCTGATCTATTAGTATACTTAATTTATTAATTTCTTAATATAAGAAAAAATATAACTAAAATTCAAATCTAACACAATTCGAAACATATTATACTAATTTACTGAAAAGGCATCGAAATTTATACTTTAAGTGTTCTTCATAATAAAAAATAATTTTATTATTTTTAAAAGATTTGGACTCGAGCTGTATACGAAAGAATATGTATATATTATCAATAACTTAAAAAATTAAATAAATATTATTTTATAATTATTATAAATGTAATTTTTTATATAAACATTTCAATACTATAACATTAAAAAGAAGATTATGAAAATTTTAAACAAATATTATCTTATATTATTAAAAAAAACTAATGGGTGAGTAAGTGGAGGAAAAGTAAGAAGAAAGAGAATAAAATTTATTCAGTTTCTGAAAGAGGAAATATATAAAAATGGGATGAAAATGATTGCAATAATAAGTTTATAAATGCATGAGTGCAACAGGAAGCAGCATAGGATGGTGGGTTTCTTCCATGTCTAGTCACGTCTACTCTGTATAAAAAGTTGGACTTTTGGGCATCAATTTTCATTTCTTGTCACTGTCTCCTATGTTCATCAGAATCTCAACCTGCACCACTAAGGAAATTTTAGGATGAATTATATTTAATATACGGTTAAAAAAATATTATTAATTTTATTATTTTAATAAAATTGTTAAAAAATAATCAGAAATATTATTATTTTTATCAATTTTATTATTATTATTAATTATTGATATTGGTAAACACGGTAAAAAAATACGAGTAAAAAAATAATGTTTTTGGCAACGTTTTATCGGATATGTTACCAAAATCGATAAAACACCTGCTAATAACAAAATCGGTAGAAATAATAATATTTTCAATCATTTTTTTACTGATTTTATTATTTAAATAATAATAAAACTGATAGTATTTTTTTAACCGTATATTAATACTGTCGCACGTGAGCATTTTCCGCACAACTACCCTCTTCCAATAATCTCATTACTATCCCTCCAGCTAAAAGATATAGTATCACCATGCCTATGGATGAACTAATCGAGGGGGTGGAGGTGGTGGTTCTGTTAAAAAATTTAAAATTCTATGGACTTTAAATATTATTTTTTATATTTTGGTTAAAAAATTATTTTATCTTTAAATTTTATATATTCGATTTCTCTCGAAATTTATAAGTTAATTCTCTCTAATATAAAATATTACTCTGGTCTCTTATCATACTCGTGCAATTAAAGTTTAGTTATAGTTATTTTCAAGTTAAAAAAATGAGAGGTAGAGTTTAGAGTTTTCTTTAATTCTATTTTAAAAAATATTACAAAAGGATTCTTTTGATGAAGAAATAATTTTTTTAAAATAATATCATAATGATTATTTAAAGTATATCATCTTTTTTTTATTAAGTACCTAAAATATATTTTTGGTTAAAATTAGTATTTAATTTTTTTTATCAAAATAGATACCTAAAGTATTCATTTTTTATCTAAATTTTTAAAGTATTATTTAATTAATATCACGTGTCAATTTTTTTAGAGTTTAGATGAAAAAATTGAACATTTTAAATACATATTTTACCAAGAAATACTTTATGTATCTATTTTGATAAAAAAAAATTAAGTGATTAAATGAAAAAAATATATATTTTAAATATTTATTTATAATATAAATAAAATGTTTAAGAATTTATGGTAAATACGAAAACTCCTGGATAAATATATTATTAGAAGTTGACAGACCCTTCTTTGTTGCTGTTCTATCTCGTGCTCTTGATTTTCCTTTACAATATTTTATACATCCTTTGCGTTACTCATAACATTGGACATGATATATTAAGGTTAACACACATGGGAGATATTCATTTACACTTGTGTAAGATTAAGTAACTTTTGTACGAATTAAGGGTCTGTTTGTTTGGGGAAACAATTACGGAATTGGTTTTCCTTAAAATCTCGTGTTTGGTTTCCGTCAAAGCAAATGGTCAACGTAAAAGAAGCTGAAGAGATCCCGTAGAACAACTTACCATGGTGGACATGATATATTAAGGTTAACACATATGGGAGATATTCATTCACATTTGTGTAAGATTAAGTAACTTTTGTATTAATTAAGTGATTTCGGTGGACACATATGTGTGTCCACCCTAAAAAAAATATTTATGGATCCACCAATAAAAATGTCATGTTGACTGAAAATTTACATGCATAATAAATATAATGATTTTGATATATTCAACAGTTGCATTGTAAAAATATTTATCATATAAAATAATAAAAACTTACGAGAATGTGTAAAACTCAATTTACACTAGCGTAAGTGGACCCCGAATATCGACAAGTATAGCCTATTGGGAGTTCCATAGTGGTACAAGAAAAAGAATGTTTGCTTGTCTTCCATGTCATGGATCATGCATGTAACCTTATGGTAGGGCTTGCCAGAATTGTGGGTCAGACTAATGCTGGTATGTTAAGGGAGAGTTATACTTGTTTAGTCCTGCAATGAGGGACTGCTTAAGCAAGTTTAATGACAAGGAATGGCTCTTGCTGAAGAACCAGTGGTGGAAGATTCAAAGACAAGAAAGGAACACGGGAGTTGCCAGGCATGAAAACTTAGTTGGCAAAGGAATTAGCTTTGCTGCACTTGCTTCCTTCTGGAGAAATACCCCATCCCTTTGCTTCTTTTAAAAAGGGAATGAATGATCATACATTAACTTGTGGCCATTGATGCAATCAAGTTAAACTTTAAAGGCCTGCTTTTTGCATACATATTCTTCATGCAGCAGCAGCATCTATTCTCTTCTTTAGAATCTGTCTTTTCCAATTAACCCCCCCACTATAACCCTTTGTGGTTTGGCCTAAACTTTATCCAAATAAACTGAATGAGGCATCATCCTCGTAGCATACCTGAAAAGTAAATGCGAGAATCGAATTATATGCCGAGTAGAACCACCCATCCAATTGCTGATATGATGGCACCACATCACCCACACTAATATGTTTTACCTTTTTACTTTCACCTTCTCCCTCGTGTACCTTTTTACTTTTATCTTGATTTTACATGCATATGGTCATATGTCCATCCATACTTTCAACCATCTATTTTCACTCCTCCAATGAATTTAAATCTATATAAAATGAAAAGAGTTTTACGGTGTATAATTGGATCTTATCTCTTTTATTTTTTGAATTAATCACCAATATCTGACCTACTGACCGACTAATCCAGATCGGGTACTGCAGAGGCGAGGGCAACCCTCTCGATCCGATTTTGCTCCATTCACAAACGTCAGGGTTTGAACCCCTGATATTGTTTTAAGGAATCTAGTTTTACGATGTATAATTGGATCTTATATCTTCTTTAATTTTACATCTTTAATTTATTTTTTAATTTGAATATTGAATATATGGATAATATATTTGGATTGAGATATTCAAATTTGAATAATCATTATTAACATCAATTTTATTTTATGAATAATGAATTTGAACCAAAATATATGTATCATTTCCCTAGTTTACCTTTAAATTTTTTGTTTAAAAAACGATATTACTAAACAGAGAATTAACATCTAACAAATGATTTAATTAATTCGCATGCAAATAGTAATTTAAAAGTTAAAACCTATTACTCTATAATTTATTACTTTATTATCAATTAATTATTATATTTATTATTTATTACATATATATTTAGATATTAACTAAATTTAGTTATCATTTAACTTTCAACCAATAAAATTATACCATAATCCAAACTAATTATCAATAAAATTTCAGTCAATAACTAATAGATATTATTTTATGTTTTAATCTAAAAATTAATTAAATATAAAAATAAAATACGCGATGACTTTAATTTAAAATTTCAATAGAAACAATACAATTTCTCTGATCGTAATTAAATAATTAAAGATTAATAGAGGCTATATTATTGGGTAAATCGCCTTTGTTTTGACTTCCATGTCAAAAATAGATACATAGGCCGCCATAACTTTTGACTTCACTTCAGGTCTTTTAATGTAATTAGTCTCCTAGCTTATGTCACATATATTTACATATAATTCTTTTTATTTAGTTAATTATATCGGTTGCATGATACGTTAGTTATTAAATAAATTATTATTATTTCTAGAGATTATAGGTTCGAACACTAACGACGGCAAAAGTGATTGAACGTTCATTGTCAAATGAGTCTACCCGAAGATCTTGGTTAGGACCAGAAGTAGCTGTATATCTTTTATTTCATTTAATTATTATTTAAAGATACACAATTATTTATTAATACATATTATAGTTTTTTTTTGTTTATTTAAACTATTTAGCTATTTGTGTTTCTGAGTATTTTTACGACATGAAGGATATATTACATATATATATACGAATTGTGAAATCTACTAATCTAATAATTATGTTGGATTAATGGGGTTGGTCAGATGATCTGAAATTAAAGTTGTCACAAGCTGTATACTCTGAAAAGTTAAAAGTTTAGCAGAGCGGAAATATAAACTGCTCTTACCCTATATTGTAAGGACCTTCAAATTTCATACCGTAACAAATAGTACAACTAAAGTAAATATCGTAAATGTTGAAAAGATTAACCTAAACAAGATGTAGCTGTACCGTCTTCCTTCTCTGCATTTCCGAGTTTAGAGTAAGACTGCTTGAATGGCACTGGTCTTACCATTGCTCAAATCCTTGCCACCAGGTGGTGCATTTGCATGAAATGCTGATTGTCGCGATGGTTCGCCAAGTAGTAGTTTCAAGGATAGTGGTGAAGGCTCTCTGTGGCCACTCTCGGCCCCTCCGATGCTAAGCCGAGACATACCGACTAGTTCGTCTACGTTGACGGGTTCTTTGGGAAGCAATGGGATCGGCTTCAGTACCTGATGTTGAGTTGCTCCTATGCCCTTATCTTCATTTGGAGGGGCTGGATTCGGCGGCCAAAAGGGGTAGGGAATAGGTACGTAAGGTGGAAAGAAACCATGGACCATAGGTGTCAATCCACTTGATCTCACCATAGTTTCTTCTCCGTGCTCGAATTCTGAGTTGAGAGAGAGGTTTAATGAAGGTATCGAATTTGCATCGTCAACTTCTTCTACCCGTGAAGAAGGCAACAAAACGTGCTCTTCCGGCACTGTGGGTGTATCCGTAGCCTGCAAAACAATAAAAAGTGAGTTGTCTTGCTAGTGTTAGCAAATGCCAAAATGCAACATAAAGAGGCAAGACAAACCATGTCATCCGGAACCATGTCGAAAAGGCTTGAACGTCTCTTTCTTCGGCTAAAATTACTCTGACGGATGAAATACTTCTGGGCGTGACTTGCTACCTGAGTAGGTGTCCTTGACACCACAAAATTCCGAGCTATTCCCCGCCAGTCCCCTTTCCCTAATTTCTGGAGGCCAACTAGAAAGAGCCGATGTTCCTCTTCGGTCCATGGGGTACCTGTGAAGCAACCAAATTTTAACTGCTTTTCTCCAAATATCATGCCAAATCAATAATTTTCTATGTCAGCATATATTTCCATTCCACCGGTTGTACCGATAATCCATCCCTGATCGCCGTCCTCTCCTCTATCATGGATGACTTAAAGTTGCATGGGACAAACGGTAAGCTAACCATTGATGTTTGTTGATGGGAACAAATTTGACTCATCGTTGATGGTTCATCCCTTTTAATTTGGAAGGAAAGTCGCGGCTAGTGTAGATACGGCCGTTGGCCGATGTTTAACTGTGATAGAGATGGAAGCATTAGGAAGATGGGGTTGAGAAGGAGAAGGAAGTAATCAAGACCCCATCTCTCTTATGCTTCCATCTCTATCAAATAGAAAACCGGCCACACTTCCTCCTAACCCAGAAGGGATAAACCATCGTCAGCCTACGAGTTAAACTTGTTCCATCAACAAAATACAATGTCGCTTGGAAAACCAAACCTTGCTTGGATGAAACCCACAACAGTTGCAATCACATCAAAGTTCACTTCAGAAATTAGAGCCGCTCATAGTTCACAGGCACATCATTTCCCAAAAAAATGAAGCAAAACACTTTGGAGTCCCCAACATTCCAATCTTTTACCATATAAAGAAACCTATATCTAGGCCACTCAAATAACTCTTCCCACGAGTTAAGAATCAACTTATGCAACACATTGAGGCAAAAAGTAGTGTCCTTTCCAGAAATTAACAAGAAGGAATACAATAATTATCAATCCAAATATCCAAATAAATAAACCACTTAAGCCAGCTTAAAATTTTCTTTTTTCCCAAGGTTAGTGTTAGGTATATGTACTCGAATATGAGTGGATGATAATGACACAAACAAGTTTCAGAACCATAAAGCACAAACAACGCATTTACTTTTCACCAAGAACGAGGAAACCTCGCATCACTCAATAAAATACAATAAATTTTTGGAGAAAATTATAGCTTGAAAGCTCCATTCACGGTTCGGGTATGGCGAAGCGAGGGAGAGATTATTCTATCATTACAAAGCAGCCAATTATCCTTACTCATCTGGCCCCCCAAAACTACCCATAATAAGAACATTGAATTTTTAAAATATAAATATAGATAGAGAAAGAGCTAAACTAGGGGAGGCAGGCTATTTTAAATACCAAGTGTGATTACATATTATAATCTTAAAAAACACACAAAAGAAGACTACTTCTACACGCTACTGATCTCCCATAATTTCTAAAACCCTGAATCAGAAATAATAAAGGTTACTACTCGAATTTTCTTAGCCAAAAATATTTTACTGAAAATGAAGAATTTGATGTATCATTCAAAATTTTCCTACAAGATAAAGCACTTACTTAAGTAACAAAGTATAAGACTAATGAAAAAGGAAATTTTATAATGGAAGTTATTACGTTAAATTAATATGAAGGTAAATAGGCATTTTCTACATTTACTTCAAAATGAAGATAACAAAACAAAATCTAAAATATCCCAGAAGGAAGTAATATAGTTGATTGACCATTAATATGCTGTCAACACTGTTTCTCATGAGTAAAATGTTATGAAAGATTGTAAAAATCAACCTTAAATTAAAGTTAAAATCCTCGAGGGGAAAAATGGTAAATAAACAACGCAAAAAACGCAGCGTTCTGGACTAATCACCTTTCTTTCTTTCTCCACGACAATTGTTTGAGACGTGCACGGCGGGGTCATCAGAGAGGTAGCCGTCGGGCTCGTTGTTCGGGTCACGAACGTGATCGGATAAAGGAGAGTCATGATTAGGCGAAGCGGCGGCTGATGACGAGCTATGGTAGTGCGCCGACGACAAATTTCCCATACTCGCACTCTTTTTTATTATCGAGCCATCCGTCAGACGGACACCGAATAGCTTCACTCCTCCGCCCCTAATCCCGCCGTTTCCGCCACCACCGCGCGTGGGACACGTGCGATAGTTGTGGCCGTTGTTGCTGCAATGCGAGCATCGCCGAGTCATGAGTCGACGAGTCAAAACCAATTGGAAAACAAATAATCTGGTGTTATTTATTTATCTATTTGTCAAAAAACCTGGAAAAAAATAGATCAATAAACACAATAAATTTAGAGAGAGATTTGAGAGAGAAGTGCTTGGAAAATGAAAGAGAAGAAAGTAAAGGAGGAGGACTATACAATGGGGAGAAAAGAAAGAAAGGGTGTTTTTGGTATTTCCTGATTCAGTTCAGGCTCGGAGGATTATCATATCTCACTGGATCTTTCATTCGGATAGACTAAATTACGGTGTTAGCCTCGTAGGAAAATAACGTCCTGCTTGAATAAATGTGAATACTCTATTATATGTGTGTTAAATATGTCTATTCATACCAATTATATTAAACACATGACAATTTTAAAACTATCTTCAAATGTTCTTTTTATCTCTCAATCTTTATAAGTTATAAACTAATTAATAAATTTATTAATTCTTGTAAAATTATTACATTAATATTATAAAATATTTATTATATATTACTTAATTTATTATATTTAAGTATATGATATATATATTTATCCATTCACAACTATCAAGATAGATATAGGTTATGTTTTTATTTTAATTAATATTATTATAATTTTAATGTTTCGAAATATATCACTAATGTAACACGTTGATGCACAATATTAATTAAATTGTTCTTATTAAATAAATATTAAACAATATAATGACCTATCAACAATTAATTTTTTTATTATTTAATTTAAATTTTAATAAGAATATAATTAATTTATATTTTTTTATTAAAAATATAATTATTTTAGGATCATAACACTTAATTTATATAAGTTTACATATTCATCCAATAACAATCATCAAACTAACCGTCGACGATTTTATTCATTGTCGAAAAATCGTGTTACTTACATGTGGTTATGTAATGTCATCCCCACTATGCTCTACCGAATATCGTGTAATTTTTTTTACAATTGCATATTAATTTATTCAGTTATTAAGGAATTATTAATAATTTTTGGTTTATATACAATTGGAGCTGTTGTTTTAATTAATGTTACATGCTTATAGATTCATCCTATGCAAAGATACAGTCTTCAGTTCCTCTCATTGGAACTAATTTCGGAAGTGATTTTGCGTATTTACCACCAATAATAGCATAACTCGACGGTTTAGGTAATTTGAAATCATTGAACGACTAATTCAGATCGGGTACAACAGAGACGATTTACAAAAAAAAAAGTAAAAAATAATAAAACAAAAGAATATTTGTAACATCTTAAAACACCTTACCTTTTATCTCTGTTCTCAACGACTAGTCCATATTTTTATTGATAAGATCAATTAACGATATGTAACTATAATATTTTCAATCGTAAAGTGAATTAACAACATATTTACAGTGAAAATAAGACAAATATAACAACTGTGAATAAAAAAACTCATGATAAATCGAGATTTATAATAATCTTAACCGTATGAAAAAAAAATATTAATTACAAAAAAATAAAGAGTTAATCATAGCCTTTGATTAATCTTATCCAACGATCTTAGAAAGACAAAACTAAGATTTCTACACTCGGTGTAAGTAGATTTTTATCCAACGATCTTAAATTTATGTAAAATTAAAAGAGTTTTACATTGTGTAACATGATCTTGTCCTATAAGTAATATACTTATTATAATTAATTCTATTAAAATATATTTGTTTTGACTAGTTTTATTAAAAAAAATTAATTTTAGTTTTATTAAAATATATTCATTATAATTAATTTAATATTTTAATTGTAAATTATATTTATATAGAATAATAATTCGTATAACTTTTAAAAAAAATCACAAAATCACCAACCAACCAGCTGATATCTTAATCATTTAAATTCAAGACCATATCCAATGAATTTAAATAATGGGACATAAAAGAACCTTATGTAAGGACAAAACATTAAAGCCAAATGTGTACGGACACGTGATGACCCTGTGTTTTGCTTAAAGAATACGGCATATGTAATTATATATTATTGGATAAACTACACGTTAATATTTAAATTATTAATTTTATTCCGTTTTGGTGCTTAATTTTTATTTTAAATCAGTCATAACTTTAATTTAAGTTTAAATTTAGTATATCGCCGATAAAAAATTAACGGTGATAACAACGTGTTATAATAAAGTAATATCATGACATTATTGGAATAACTTAGAAAATAACATGTCAAGAATTATGTTAATTTTTTAACGAAAAAGATCAAATTAAACTTAAACTAAACGTTTGGTATGATTTTGAAAAAAATAAAGTTTGAATATTAAAATGAAAAAAAACAATAAGTTAGCTACTAAATCTATAACTTACTCTATATTCTTTCTTTAAATACCAGAAGAAGATGAATCAATTGCAAAGTCAAGCTTTATGGACTTTTTTTTTCTGGGGAAAAAAGATTAAGTTAACTTCAAGGCCAATAATTTCGGGAATATTTGAGTGCATCGTTATTCTATCATATCTTTTCATTTTAAGAGTAATATCAAAATTATTTACTAATTTATGTTATACATACACGTTAATTTTATATGGTTTTATATATATTTTTTGATCTAATTTGAGAACGAATTTACGAATAATATTTTAATATTTAATTTAAATTAAAATTTTAATTGATAATATTCATTCAAGTTTAAAAGGACAATTGAATTTTAAATTCCAAATTAAACATTTATAGAAATTAAATTCTTAGAATTAAAAATAAACAAACTAATTTTAAGAGCATAAAGAGTTTAGGGACTGTGTACCCAATTAAACATATTATATATATTATATCTTATCATATTTTAATAATTTTTTATAAACTTTTTTTTAGTATCATCATACTTATAATTTGCTTTATGAGCTGGGATTAGTTTGAATAATAAGTATAAGGGTAAAGTATAGTAATGATCATTGAATTTTTTGAAGCTTTCATTTAGGTCTCTCAACTTTTAAACTTGCAATACAATATCCCAACATTTAGTCCGTTGTAATGGTCCCCGACGTTACATTGCCGTTAGAAGACGCTGATTGGCAATGAGATCATCGTTTGCAGCTATGAAAATTTGGGTAAATTATATAAATGGTATTCTTATCATATTTTAATAATTTTTTATAAACTTTTTTTTAGTATCATCATACTTATAATTTGCTTTATGAGCTGGGATTAGTTTGAATAATAAGTATAAGGGTAAAGTATAGTAATGATCATTGAACTTTTTTGAAGCTTTCATTTAGGTCTCTCAACTTTTAAAACTTGCAATACAATCTCCCAACATTTAGTCCGTTTGTAATATGGTCCCCGACGTTACATTGCCGTTAGAAGACGCTGACGTGGCAGTGAGATCATCGTTTGCAGCTATGAAAATTTGGGTAAATTATATAAATGGTCACTAAACTTTTTAAGTGCTTGCATTTAGGTCCCTCAACTATTAAAACTTGTAAAACAGTCCTTAATTTCAATCTAAACCCCAAATTCCAAATTAATTCAACTACAATCTAAACCCAAAATTCCAAAATAATCAAATATATTGAGTTAACCAAGATTTCATGTTAACCAGATTTATATAATTTTTTTGATTTTTTTTATGTTTTGATTGAGTTGTATTCAGTGAAAATTGATTGTTACTGTTCGATTGAGTTCATGTGCAATTGAATGGTGGGGTATGCATGTGTAAATGACGTTTGATGGTATTGGATATTGAGCTCTAATTTCTTATTGTTTTTTCAGATTGTATTGCATGTATATTGGGTACTGAGTTTGAATAAAATATTGTAAACATTGCTGCTATTTAAATATTGGTTGTTGGGACTTAAATGTGAAACTTTTTTTCATGAACTTAAATCTATAAATGTTCAAATAGTAACAACAATTTCACATGAATTTGGCATCATTTCACATGCATACCCCACCATTCAATTGCACATGAACTTAATCGAACAGTAACAATCAATTTTCACTGAATACAACTCAATCAAAACATAAAAAAAAATCAAAAAAATCATATAAATCTTGGTTAACATGAAATCTTGGTTAACTCAATATTATTTTGATTATTTTGGAATTTTGGGTTTAGATTGTAGTTGAATTAATTTGGAATTTGGGGTTTAGATTGAAATTAAGGACTGTTTTACAAGTTTTAATAGTTGAGGGACCTAAATGCAAGCATCTGAAAAGTTCAATGACCATTTATATAATTTATCCTAATTTTCATAGCTACAAACGGTGATCTCATTGCCACATCAGCGTCTTCTAACGACAGTGTAACGTTGGGGACCATATTACAAATAGACTAAATGTTGGGGGACTGTATTATAAGTTTTAAAAGTTGAGGGACCTAAATGAAAGCTTTAAAAAGTTCAATGACCGTTACTATAATTTACCCTAAGTATAATTGTGTGTGTGTGTGTGTAACATATAGATACATTTATTTCCTGAAAGTAAACTGGTCTGAGTGTGAAAAGGTGAAATCACTACTTTTAAGTAGAGATGGAAATGGGATTCAAACCCGATGGTTCGACTCGATCGGGTTAAATTTTTAATAAACATTTCGAGTTCAAATTGTGTTTGGTCGGGATTTTTTAAAGGTGATGTTTGGGTCGGGTCGGATTCGAGTTTAGGGTGAAAAATATCTTATCCGACCCGGTCCCAAAAAAAATATAATTTTACCTTATATATTTAGAAATAATTACAATAATACCCCTCTCTATATATATATATATATATATTCAATTAAATCATTATTTTTATTGAATACAAATAATATTTTTTTATTATTTTAAGTCGGGTTGGCTGAAACCCAACCCAAAGCCGACCCATATCCATCCCTACTTTTAAGCCATTGAATTTATTTTTAAAATAACAGTTGAGTTTTTCTCTTTAAAATTAAAATTATAAAAGAAATAATATATTCATATATCGATAACAAAAGAAATAATAGATCCATAAATAGATTTTAGGAAGGATATATATATTAATAATATAATTTTTTTACGTAGTGTAAAATATATTCAATTCTAAACAGAATAAATTTAGATCAGATCCACACGATGAACTATTGTCATAACCATTTTAGGTGAAATATTAAATATTATTTTAAAAACGATTATGACTTTAATAA